AGGGGATATCGCGACGTAAACGGTTAATAAATATCCTACTTCAAGTTTCCCAAAGAAAAACTCGCGAGAAAGCAATGGCTTCATGCAATCCGTCGAGAGGAAGGAAAAAGCTTCAAAGTCTTGGACTCAACCATGGTCTGCTCGCACCATTTTAAAATGGAAGACTTGAAGAAAAGTATTGCGGGCAAAATATGCCTTCAAACCAATGCTGTACCTTCGGTATTTCAGTGGCGTACTTCGCTGCGCAAAAAAAGCCTCCACCTCAAAGATTCACTAGTAAAACAACTACTCATCAATCATTCAGGGATTTATTCATGGTGTGCACACTCGGAAAGCAGCGTAAATGATAAATCGAATGAACAGCTAGAGAGTCAGATTACAACTGTAGAACCTAATGAAAAGAATGTCGAAAATTAGGCAAAGACAAAAGATGTCGAAACTCAGACCGATTTGGTCGAGTCGAAGGATGCATGCATTCAGAGTGATCAGAGTGTTGTCGCGCTTGTGAAACAGTATGAAATGAGAATAGAAGAGCTCTAAAGAGAAATAGAAAGCATTTCAAAGAAGAATGAATGTTTAAAAAGTAGACTTTTTCTATTGAAAGATTTCGCGCCGACAATTCTGCTGTGTCCTGCTACACTTCGTTTCCTAACAACGCTATTTTAATGGAAATCTACAATTATCTAGACCCCAGAGCGTGTTATATGATTGTTTTATTCCGCTCTGGTAAACAGAGGCATCTTCTGAAGTGAGTAGTTCCACATACTAGATTCAGAGAATTTGACGGGAACATGTCGTTTAGCGGCGGAGTGTGAACTTGTGTTGTTTGCCGAGCGCAGTTGTTTTCGTTTAGAATAAAGATTATTGGGATCAGGATCAATGATGTTTTTAACCTTTCCGCTCTTGATGTATTAAAGTATAAGAAATTAGGTCAATTTAAGTGTAAGTAATCACAATTGACAATTTTCTCAAGCAATCAAAACACCTCGAAGTACGCATCTTGTGCTCGAAACTAGCCTTGTCACAAGCTTGCTTTTGTCTTTAAACCTTTCGCTGGGTCACCTCTGCCCTTCAACCATAGTCTCAAGTCCTCAGTCTTGAATTGTGAGAGATTTCTATCTCCTAAGGAAGCTCCAGGAATGTCATTTTCGGTTAAAAAGCTCGAGGAATTGTGAGAGTTTGTCTAGTCGCGTCGCCATGTGTTGCCCGGGTGGCCTCGCTTTCGTGAAATTATTCATAACCAGTCTCAGACCTCCATCAGATTTTCCGCCATTATGGCAAAGGTGTATGATGTTGTCATTTTTATTTTATGATAATTGCGACCAATTAGGGACCTTGAGCAGTCGGGACGGCAAGGCTGAGGACGAAGTCGGTTGAAAATTTTATATTCTTAGTTAGAATTTCGCGAATGGCTGGATGTGTTTACCTCCTCGTACTGCCCCACACCTCAACTTCAGTATAACGTATATTATATAAGTTGCGGTGAGTTCCAAATTGAAACTCAAGTGATTTGTCGTCGGGGTCTCCGTTCTTTCACGCATAGTTTTGGTGATTTCACGTTGTTGTTTTGCAGATGACTGCTAAGAATTGTACAAGGTTTTAAAACGCAGATGCTGAGTTATCCTTCTGCCCTTTAGATCTTCTGTTTTCCAGAGCCCTTGTTACTGGTAGGAACTATGCGTATCAACTCAAGTTAAAACCAGTAAAACAATCCATAAACAAAATTCTAGCATGGTTTTTTGGAGCCCCGAGTTGTCATTCCCTTGAGTTCTAGCTTAAATGGTTGGTAAATGCTCACTCTCCAGGGTGTTAACTTTGTTAGAATATATGGCATTACCGCAACAAAAACCTCAAAGTTTTTTTTATCTAAATTACTATTTAACCAATTTGTATGCAGGATTTCTCTGGAAATATCAATACCACCCATGTTGTCACTCATCATTTAAAGAACCCTGTCATTGGTCGCTATGTGAGATTTCGTCCTATAAACTGGTTCCGAAGAATTTGCATGAGGGTAGAAATATATGGATGCAAAGGTATTTCTTCATATATTTTTAGTAATTAGATGAAACTCACTTCAAAGGCCAACTATATAGTTATTATGGTCAGATTGCATTAGTTTCCTATGTCTTCCGTGTCGATAATTTTCTTGATTTTTATTAAGGGTTCACTACCTAGAGTACCTAAACTCAAACATTTTTATTTTGTCCTTTATAGTGAATCATCATCAATTTGCGAGAAATTTCTGCGTGACACTGTCAAACTTGCGCGCTTACATTATCGCTTTAAAACCTTGCTTGCGAACAAAATTTCTGATTTGTCTTTAATCAGTTGAATTCTGAGAAATAATTCATAATTTATCAGCCGGATTTTATCTTATTGTTGTTGTTCAATACAAAATAGCTCAGGAAATTTCGGATCGGGTTAGTCTTGGGGTTTGTTTTGTTGTCTTTGCAAAAGCACATGAGACGCGAAGGAAAATTAATGGTCTAAGTACTGGCAGTTTGCAACTATGAATCAAAGCTCATATTAACTAATCCCCCGGAACCGGGCTGAGTGAATGTGTTTTGGCCCTCGATCTAAGTTGTGCGGGCCAAGCTAAAGCAAGATTCGTGCTGCCACTTGCTAACACTCTCACAGTGTGGCAATCGCTTGGATAGTGAGATATATTTAAAGTCTGTGATATTATGGAACCTTTCTAGCTCACTCTAAAGCTAAAATAGCCGTTGCTATTGAAATAAGCAACATTATATTTATTCCTTCCGGACCGCCTCAAAACTTTTTCAATGTACTAACTCACCCAAGCATGTCTATCTATATAGTCTTTCCAATTAGATTCTTAAAGAATAAGCAGAAGTAATAATAATAATAATAATAATAATAATGATAATAATAATAATATATTGATATAGCTCTTTGGCATACAAAGCTCTGCTTTCATGTCCAAATTGAGCACTGTGGGATGAGTCATCGCCGCTAGCATTGTGCATAGCTCACTAGGCTCTTCTAGTTTGAGCACTCTGGCATGGCTTAGACGATACCACAAATGTGGGATCGTTCGGGGTAACCATATCGGTTCTCTCCCATCCTAGCATCAGCACTGCACTGATGAGGCCCAGAAGGCCGAAACAGTACTGTCTGCAGTTAGTTATATACATATATATATTTTTAAATGATATAATAACTTTATTTCAAAACTTAAAACATTACAATAACTTCGCGTAGGTAATGGTTTTTCCTCTCGTACATTTCCAAATTAATTGATACGGAACACATCTGTTAAATTCGGTTCTCTAGGATCAGACTCGTATCAGACCCAAACTAACTTTGATAACAAAAACGACCTACATATAAAAATCGCGAAAGCAACTACTAGTTCGTATTAAAAGAATTTCAAAAAACGTGCATCGAAATTACCCTTAAGAAAGTAAATTACATTAAAAAAATATAGGAGAAGGGAAATGACACTCTTAATCTAATAATAATAATAATAATAATAATAATAATATAATAATAATAATGATAATAATAATACCTGGTACTCACCCGACAGGCCTAAGCCTATGTATGCGGTTTATATAGCGTCATATAAGGAACCGCGCAGCCAGTCAGATTGCTGGAAACTCTTTGCTCAGCTCTGAAATTCTACTAAATACATATATTATATCCTGGTACACTTTGACTAGGGTTTGCCCGCAATGATGTTGATGTGTACACTGAATTATTTTACCAATAAAGTCTACCTTAATAATAGTGTCGAAACTAATGATAACTACAACAGTGATATTTACAGTGATATTTAGACTTTTTTATCGTTTCTCCTTCTCATCTGCAGCTTGTTTCCAACCTTTGGGAATGGAAGACTTCTCAATACCGAGCAAGAACGTTGATTCTTCTGTAGCCTCAAACATATACAACGTAAGACTGAACTATGCACAAAGAAACCAGTTCGTCGGAGGTATGTTACGATTCAGTCACTTATTAGTGACTTTTCCTTGTGTGCCATTTCTTTTCTTGTTCTTACTCCTTTCTAACGTCATCTGTGATCTATTACTGTACAGCCGCATAGCAATATGGAGGCTATTTTACCAATGGATGGCAAATGTTTTTTCTCAGAAGTCACTTTCTTTTCGTTAGGGAACTTAAGTTCACAAACCTTGATGGTTTCAGTTAGTTTTCATACCTACTCGTCTCACTTCTTCTTCATTAATCCTATAGAGAATGATACATGGGCGTGTGTAGATATGGAATTTCTTTTCGAGTGTTCAACCTCATGGCTCACGAGTGAGACATCGAGTTGAGCGCGATTTTGATTTCCAAAAGGAATTCTACATAATTGTTTTTGTTGTTGAATAAACATAGTAGGCCTTTATTGACAAGAAAAGTTGGCTTTTATTAATGAATGAAAAAAAGGTACCACAATCTGCGGAAAAAAAATTCGTAAAGTGTTGTGAAGTTGTCTATTTTCGTCAGTTCTCAGCCAGGAGAAATGCTATTGCCAAACTGTTGGTTTTTTCATAAGTATTTTGGTTTTCTTCAGCTTCTCGAACATTTTGAACGTCACTGCATGTCTGTAAGCGATGCGAATTCTTCAGCGTTGTTAGCAGCGACAATCCGAGAAAATTTCGATAAACTACCTCGGATTGGGCATAGTGAAGGCTTTCCCATTGATTTACAAACCTGACAAAGTGGCGCGAAGGCGAGTGACGTGTCAGCAGCTGATTGGCGATGTACAACAAGTGAAAAAGTATCGTAATTCTAACGTGTTCCAATTACGGCTTTTCTAAGGGCTGTAAATCCTTGTAAAACACAACAGTTTAAATGGTAATACATTTCATATCCACGTGTATTAGCAAGTAGATAAACGAAAAATCGATTATTCCAAGAATCTCTTTGTTCAAAATTAGTATTTCTGGACCTTCTCCGTCCGAATGAAATTAGTACATTACATTCAAGTAAGTTTTCATGCTTTTCCTCTTTTTAAAGAATACTGTCTCTTCGTTCCAGGGCGAGACAAATTTATCTTACAGATCGACTTAGGGCATTTTAAGACTGTCGCTGCAGTCGCTACACAAGGCAGATATCGTGGATCGCATTTTGTTAGAATCTATCGACTGGCGTTTAGCAGACTTGAGGGTGAATGGTTTTATTACAAAGAAAATGGAGAAGTAAAGGTACCTCACGCCTCATTTTTGAATAACAGTCATCAAAGTTGCTTCTGTTAGGGCCAATTATGCGTCTGAGAACTTTCATATTCAAAAATGAATCGCCAAATGCGAAGTGATTATTGTTAATTAAATTCAGTCTGAAAAACTCCACATATCCTTTTTTGAAAAGAGTCACGCCAAAGTTGGTAGCATATTTTGTGCTCTCCAGAATTGAATTTTTCTCTATCACGTTTATCATCACTTCCTCAGAAGCATTGACAAAAATGCGAGGCAGTCATTTGGAAATTCAGCACGCCTGCTATAATCAGCTAGCGCGAGGTGAATAGCGAGATCATTCCTCGACCAATCAGAGCGCGCACATCTTTAAATCATCGCAACAAATATAATTATTTTTATTCTTTATGTAAAAATCACCTTTCAATCAACTGTTTTTCTATAAAGGAAATACAAGGCAACACTAATGCTGACGGAACAGTTCTAAAAATCCTGCATTATCAAGTTGTCGCCCGTTATGTCCGTTTTGTGGCAGTAGAGTGGGTCGATAATGTTTGCTTGAGGGTGGAAATTTACGGTTGCGAAGGTAAATTTACCTGGACGAGTTGTTTTTGTTTCATTCTCTCAGTTTGATTTTTTTTCCAATTTATCGGTAAAAAATGAACTTGTTTGGTACAATTCTAACCCTAATTCCATAATTTTCATACACTCGAGTACAGGAAAGGCGTAATAAACTCAATGTCTGTCTTGTGTATTGATCATTAATTTTTAAAGAATCGAAACAATGTCTCATCTGAAAAAAAGTACTTGGAGGTCATTCTCACCAACTTAGTGAAGAAACCTCAGTTTATCTGTAGAAAAGAAAAAATAAGGCGAGAGAGAGAGAAAGAAAGAAGGAGGCGCGCGCACGCGAGAGAGAGAGATCGGCAGTTGAATTGGGATGGGAGAAAAAATTTTTTTCACAGTGGTAGTATTAATATCTCTATACTATAATCTTAGCCTGGTCAGATCCCCTTGGAATAGGATCAGGATTAATAAGCAAAAGCAAAATGACCTCATCCAGTACCTCAGGACCTGGGCATGAGCCATGGTTGGCAAAATTAAATACTGTGTTTGATACCATGGGCTGGTGTGCTGCCCCTTCTGATACATCACCTTACCTCCAGATAAACATGGGACGAGTTGTATCTCTAACCCAAATCGCGGTGACAGGAAAGAGCGGTAAAGGAATGGTGTGGAAATTTAAGTTTTCTTTAAGCGTCGATGGTGGCTTCTGGCGCATTTATAAGACAGTCTCTGGAGAAAAGGTGAGTAACTTAGTTTAGTACTTACTCTCCTCAGAGAAAAAAAAAGAGATCTAGTGTTTTATTTTTTTCCTTTTTACCTCTAGACGTTTATAGCAGCTACAGATTACTCACAAGCATTCAAGTTCTCGATAGATTTGGAAGTTAAAGCGCAATTTTTCAGGTTCCTCCCTGAGGAATGGACTGATTTGCCTTGCATGAATGTGGAGTTGTATGGTTTTGATGGTAAGTTATTTTAAGGAAATTATGCAGTGGCCATTATCTCATAACGGCAATGCAGTGAGCTCCTCACGGCGCCATAATTTCATTGATAAGCGTGTCAACTTGTTCTTAAAGTTGCATTGCAAAAACAAATATAGAAGACCAAATTGGTTTATCATTCCTCTTTTTTTTTGTTGTTTAGACGATTGAAAATGGATAAACCGTCATTTTAGCTAAAAATCCTCTGGGTCATTGTCGTAGTATGAAGATGTACTGACAACATACTTCTTCACGAAGTGTTGCAGTCAGGAAAGATCATATGGCCTAGCTAGTAGAAAATAGTTTTGCACTTTCGCCACCGGAGCAGTGATCATCTCCACATGGATGTGCAATAATTGCGACGAAAATAGTTTAGGTGTTAGGCAGTTATACCCGAAGATACTAACGTGATTAAAAATAGACCACTCAATGACTTTTGGTGTTTAGAATGCACGATGCCTCTAGGACTGACGGAGTGGATTATACCCAAGGAAGCCATGACGGCATCCAGCTCGCTTGGAACAAACTATGCACCTTGGATGGGAAGACTAGGTGCCATGGAAGGTGGTGGAGCATGGTGCGCTAAAAATAACGACAACATGCAGCATCTGCAGATTGATCTGGGTTACGTGAGAAAAGTACGGAGTTTGCAAATTCAAGGAAAAGAAGGAATTAGTAGACATCCTACTTTGGAGAGCGCATGGGTGAAAAACTTTACTCTATCTCATAGCGTGGATGGAATAACTTGGACAGATCATAAAGAAGATGGTAGTTTGAAGGTTTGTTCGTTTCATTCGTTGTTGTTTGTTTACTGGATATTTTTGTATGCTGCTCTTGATTCTGTGGGAAAATCTCTCTTTGAACTACCTAAATAACTACTTTCTAATCTCCCCTTACACTTTTTTTTCACCTTCAATTATAATGTTTTGCTATGCATGAAAGAATATCAGCGTAAACATTCAACCTTATTTAATACTTGAAGAGCAAACTGATTTGAAATTGCGAATAGCATCTCCACAGAATTTTAATTGCCAAGCATTCCGCTGTTTTAAAACTTCTTGAGCGTGAGGATAGGTTGTTTCAACTTATCAAAGATCTTTGAAAGATAACACGACATCAGTTCAATACTTTTGTTTTTCAAATTCAAGGTATTTCCTGGCAATTCTGATCCCCACGAGGCTAGAACTGTGGTTATGGAAGTTTCGATTATTGGACGCCATTTTAGAATTTTCCCCAAATACTTTCATCGTCACATTTGTATGCGATTGGAGCTATACGGATGCCAAGGTGGGTTGAATGCCACAGTTTTATCTTTAACATGATTATCGTATTAGGGCAACCCTGGCTAAGTAGCATGATTTTCTGAAAGGATATGGAGTATTTGGTGATCTTAGGAATGCGAAGAACATTAAAGTTATAAACAAGCACAAAATATGCTCATTGGCGCAGTGTTCCTGTAATGCAATGCAACCTTTGAAGCGTATATAAGAAAGATCTTTTTCAGGATTAGTGGCTGTGGTAAACATTAAGAGTTCCTTAATTCTGTTTTGCATTTTCCTTTTAGCTTGTGAAAGTCCCCTTGGAATGGAAAACCATGACATTCCAGACTATGCATTAGTCGCAAGTGGTACATATTATGACCCAATCCATGCTCGATTAAACAAACCAGATTATTTTCTTTTACCTGTAAAAAAGGACGAGTATGTTCAGGTGGACACTGGGCCTGGAGGCAAATCAGTGACTGCTATAACAGTGCGAGGGAATTTTGCTTCCTCTAATATTGAATGGATTAGCAAATTTGTTCTAAACTACAGTAGGAGCGGGTGTGAATTTTTCTCTTACATGGAGGATGGAAACATGAAGGTGATATAAATAGTTTTTGTGTTAGTCAATTAGATAACTTGACTCACCAGCTTTCACTCAACTGCCATATGCATTGGCCATTGAACAAACTCGTCGCTTTGAACCGAGTGTAACTGAAAGATTAAATTTGATCATAGCTTGCGACTTACCTGTGTCATTGATTGAAGTCTATTGGATGCCGTTGCTAACGACGGAAGCAAATCTCCCAACTAAAACAACTACTGAAGAATTTCACTTGTACGGGTAAACAAATATCAAGAAAAAAAAAAAGGAAGAAAAAAAGTAAAAAAAAAATAGCAAAGTACAAAAAATACAAAGCATTACCTGTTTACTAATTTCTCCCATCATATTCCCGAGTGTATTGACGCCAAAGGCCAAGAGGGAAGATGAGGAAGGAGCGGGGTGGGTCGTATCAAATGTTGTTTGCCGAACGTAATTCACTCCAGCCACGCTTTGGAACTGGGAGTAGGGCGTCACACTTGGGATTTGAATTAAGCTTTGAACTTAGTTTGCCCTCTCGGTACGAAATTGTCTGCAGGAGTAATGGGAAGTTTCTATTTACTATCTTGCAGATTTTCCAAACTCCTTCGGATAATCGTTTTTATGCTACAAGGTACCGATTACAGCACAACATCACAGCTAGGTACTTTCGGGTTGTGTTAAAAGACTGGATTAACCGTCCATTTATTCAGTTGGAACTCTACGGCTGTGAAGGTATGTTAACAACTAGATAGTCTCAGATTAACTCCTTGCGTCCTCGTTTCGAGCACTACCTGGATTTAATTCTTGTAATGTTTAAGAGAAAACTTTTGACGCATGAAGGAACGTCTGCGAAATAAACATATACTAGGATATAAACCTTCAGACGCTGATCTGGGCTTTAACATCACGAGAAACGACAATAACCGTGCTAGTGGCAATGACATTTACGATGAAGCTACCGATGATGATGACGATGATGACGACGAAAACGATGACGATTACAATGACGATGACGATGACGGTAACAATGACGATGATGATGGCGATAACGATGACGATGACGGTAATTTTATGATAATATTACTCGCATAGCTCTGAAGGAGGCGCTATCCAGGCGATATAAAACTGTTGACAGAAAAAAGTGGCTTTAATCTTGGTTCTTTTTCCTAACTTGGTCCAAAGATAACCTAACTGATTTAACATTGGTTGCTGATGAAAAATACGGTATGCCGGATCAAACGATTGCGCTTTTCAGAAGAGTAACATTTTCGAATATCACCCCCTGAGATCTACTTCTTTTTATTGTATTTAGTATGTTTACCAATTTCAGTATGTAATTATTATAATTCTTGGCATTTTCGTTAGCTGGAAGGTCCCCGTGAGGATTTAAATCTTGGCAGTTTTCTTGCCAGCCTCCTTGAGTTAACGCCATTGACAACAACAACCTTTACCTATTTGCGTGAAATACAAAATGAAACAAAAAACAAGCAATAGTTGAAAGCTCAATTCCATTTTTGACTTCAAACTTTATTATTTTAGTTCGCTCCTTTTAACGAACGACTTGTTCACTTTCCAGCATGTTCAAAGTCGTATGGTATCGGAAATGATCCCTTACCAGTTTCAACTTCGTCAGCTTCTAGTAGTAGGCATGGACACAAGCCGGAAAATGCACAAAATTTTACTGACACATGTTCCTGGTGCGCTGAACAGGCGAAAGGAAATGAAAACCTCCAACTTGACTTTGGAAAGACGGTCGTATTGACTGGTATTGCAACAAAAGGTCACCATAGCAACGACGAATATGTGTCACAATTTGAGCTTGAATACAGTGTGGACTGTGCTAATTGGTTTACTTACACTCGTTCGTTCAGACTTGAAGACACGAGAACCCAACTTTCCGCGAATGTAGACAACGCAAGTGTTCGGAAGATTGGTTTCTTGTACGAGCTCAAAGCTCGTTATTTGAAGATTGTCGCTAAAGCCTGGCATAATGGAATCTGCCTCCGGGTACAAGTATTTGGTTACAAAGGTAACAGATTTTAAGTGCACTATTTTCTAAAAATTCCAAAATGTTTCTTTCTCTTCAACAGGTTATCTGTTGGCTTCACACTCATTGGTCTTCTTGAAATTTGAAACTCTGATACAAAATAAATCCTCTCTCTGGCACTAAACAGGAATCAAGTAGTTTTTTGAAGAGTAGAGTTATTTTCCGCAAAATCGCTAATTTGAAAAAAAGCACTTCCGCATCTTACATGAAGTAATGCCCATCTATTAATCCCAAATTCACATCTCCGAAGACAAAAAAAACAATCGACTAACATTAAAAAGAATAGAGTAAGATTTAGATGGGACGAGATTATTTGCTATTCTAATTGTTTGTTAATCAGAATTTAAATAAGCTGGTAACAAAAATAATGCTGTTTGGACTTACTTAGGTTGCGACAAAGACCTGGGCATGGAATCTTCACTGGTTAGCAATAATTCTATAAACGCCTCCAGTTATCTTGGTGAAGGTTACGAGCCATGGAATGCTCGTCATAATCGCCATCATGGAAAAGGTGCGTGGTGTGCTGGTCAAAAGGCTACGGATGAGTTCATTCAAGTGCAATTCAACCAGATTCACGTCATTGCACGAGTTTCGTTACAGAAAAAAGAGAAAACTTCTCCTGAAGATACAGTTGGGAAGGCCTGGGTGACCAAGTTCATACTTGCTTATAGCGAGGATGGTGTCAGCTGGTCGGAGTACTCTGATGGCAGTGGAGTTAAGGTTAGAATTGTCAAAGTGGCAGGAATTGTCAAGTGAATAAGACACTGACTCGCCTTAGACTTGGGTGTTTTTGTCCTAGAGAATATCTCTTTAAAATTAATAGTTGTGTGGCGCCTATCTGCGAGCGCACTTTTGGCTCTGAATCGGTTAAACACTTTTTCTTGTATATCCAAGGTATGCCGCTCAACGTAATGTCCCGCTCTTACCTCTGCTGCTAATATTCTAGGTGAACATGGTCAACGAGCGGCGATGCAAGGAACTAAATATTTCATTTTATGGTGTTGAGTCTGTAAATCACGATGTCAACTGCTTTTTTTTTTTTTTTCGCGACATTTATAGTTTTTCGGAGACCATTGCTTAAATGTTAAATAATATTTTACTAGCTTAGTAAGTTAACTCGTTGATATCGCAACTTTTGTTTGTTGTTTGTGTGTCTGTTTAATTATGTGCGAGCCTGAACAAATTGATTAAAAATTTGTTTATTGTAATCCCCCTCGTTGAGTCTAGGTGCTTTTGGGGAAAACGACGAGGAATACGTTTAAATAATACAAAAAAGACACGGATACAGAAAGAACCTGCCATCAGCTGATACGTGTCAGCTGATTCTGTCTGTAGCGCGAGATTTCCAATCTATTTGAAGGGAAGGGAAAAAGACTTTTCACATAGCTTCGTGGCACTTTGGTTTGTTATATAGTAAACTTCCTACTTACCGAGCCTTTTCTTCGTTGTTTCAATTCAGGAGCTCACTGGTAACAAAATACATGCCCTTGCCAACACGGTGCGTGCTCAATTTGTACGGATCGTAGTTAAGGAATGGTACAACCACATCTGCCTAAGGATGGAACTCTACGGTTGCCAAGGTAAAGTGAACGTCATGAAAAATTACGTAGCGATTAATATCGTTTTTCGGAGGCAAAAAAAATCAAAAAATGAAAAAGGACAGTGTATTTGGTTTAACTTGCGTAAACTGCAAGATAAATGACAAATGACAGACACTGGGAAAACACAGATACCTTAATATGGGAACAGGGCATTAAATGGACAGGTAAAAACGAACGATATAATATCCCGACGTTTCGGCGACGTATGACGCCATTATCAAGGGTACGAATGAAAATAAAATTAACAAATGCGAGTTCAAGAGTTACAACTAATTTGCATAGGGGAGGTAGCTACACAAATACTTTAGCACGGATAGAATCCGTTTGCACGTTCAAACTCGGTGTTAATTGTTTGATGTAAAGCATCTCGTTGACAAGACAATCGAATTTGTTCATGCACTTCTTGAGAACTTTGAAACAGCTAAGAAGGTCCTCAGGGACAGCACCTGCGTGGTCGTTGTCAACGAGATGCTTTACATCAAACAATTAACACCGAGTTTGAACGTGCAAACGGATTCTATCCGTGCTAAAGTATTTGTGTAGCTACCTCCCCTATGCAAATTAGTTGTAACTTTTGAACTCGCATTTGTTAATTTTATTTTCATTCGTACCCTTGATAATGGCGTCATGAAGTCGCCGAAACGTCGGGATATTATATCGTTCGTTTTTACCTGTCTATGTATTACTAAATCTTTGTTAATAGGGCATTAAATGATTGAAAAACGGGAAATACGACATCGATAAGCGAAAAAATGGACAGATGTCCCGAAAATTTCTCACTCACAACCTGAAAAACGACATTATTTCAGACCTTTCTCGTAATGTAAGCAGTTTATGAAGGAGCTCAGTTCTGCAAAGTGTCAACACCATAACGAAAACGCCGTCATTTCATGTAAACTGTTCATTTTCGTTGCAGCTTGTTTGGAGCCACTTGGAGTGGAAAACTTCCACATTCCGGATTCATCCTTTTCCAGCTCTCCCAATTATTTGAGACTACCCAAACGGGCTCGCCTGGGATATTACAAAAATGATATGTGGGCTGCGAGAAATAAGAATCTCGACCAGTTTTTACAGGTAACGACGGAAATCTTCCGTGACATCAACGCAGTTACAGATGGTAGCTGTGGCGATATAGTGTAAAAAGCACGCAGTTAATTAGTGTTGGATCGTTAGTAGTATTTATTATATGGCGTTAGAAGCATGCAGTTAGTGTTAGATCATTAGTAGTATTTGTTATCGTGCATGTGCATATGTTTGGGGCTTACATATATTGCATTTGCAGGTAGTAGTTTAACGGTTTTTTTTTTTTCAACTTGTAATCGGCCAGCAAGTTAAAGAATTAAATAGAGTTTTTTTTTAACATTATGTCGTCGTCATATGGTGTTAGAAGTGGTTTGACCACTAATGGCTGATCTTCAATCGTTGCCTGTGCCTTATTCTCTCGATATAAATGACTCCAACGTCGCTGAGAAATGGAACGAGTGGAAGGAATTGTGGCTACACTACAGCGTCGCGGCTAGAGTCGACAAAGAAGCTGATGGGGTTCAAATGGCCACCTTTCTCGCGGCTATTGGTCCTGAAGCGAGGAAAGTCTTTAAAACTTTGAATCTAACTGCTGATGAAAATAAAGACATTAACACTGTCATCGAACGATTGGACAATTACTGTAACCCGAGGATGAATATTCCTTTTGAGCGGTATAGTTTTAATTTACGACAACAATAGCCCGGCGAATCCTTTGATCAGTACATGACTGCCCTTCCCATATCGCTGGTAAGTGTGGTTTTGATGCTATTACGCCGGATGGTTTTCTCAGAGACAGGATTATCTTTGGTATTGCCGACAACAAAGCCATGGAGAGGCTTTTGCGGGAACCCGAACTCGATCTCGACAAGAAGTTTGATATTTGCCGTGTCGCAAATATGTCTCAAGCTCAAATTAAAGCAGGGGATGACCTCACCTCGGCAAGCATAAACGTTTACCAAGTTAAAGAAACTGAGAAAGAAAAATCACCAATGTCTCCTGCATATTAAAGCAACTGCGATATCCTTGTAGATGTTGTGGAAGAAAACACGATGGAAAGCGCGAGGCTTGCCCCGCTTTGGGCAAGAAGTGTAACAGGTGCAGAAAGGATAACCACTTTGCAAAGAAATGCGGTTTGAATTCTTACTCCAATCAAGTGTCAGTGGTAGAGGAGGAAGAAGAGTACCCGGTCTTTCAGGTGTTCAAAGTGCCAACGTACGAACCAGAGCTCTGACTCGGACTTCGTGACGCTTATGGTGGCAAGTGGGAACTTCACGCAGTTTGAAATAGATAGTGGGTCCTGATGCAATGTTCAACCAGCTCACATCTATAAGAACGCAACTGGTGATTACAGCCTTAAACAAGAAGGCACGCTATATAAGGAAGTCTTCCCTGGGAAGACCTAGGCTCATTTGTCACTTACCGTTGACGTGTGCGGGTCAAATTTAAATGCTGGTAGACGAACAAAAGGAGCCAATGAGATATCTATTGTTTACTTCCACCAGCATGGTGGCATGAGGCAACGTGCGAACCACCTACTTCGATCTCAAATTTACCGCCACAAATAAAGACAGTTTCCATTGGAGAAAGGAAATACAAATCTCAAAAATTCTTGTATTGTGATGAAGACATAAAACAATTTGGAGGAATGCGCCCGCTGTTCACTGCTTTGGAGTAGCTGTAGCTCAAGGTGACTTGACTCTAAGAGTTCTACATCACACGACGGTTGATTGACAAATGGTCCAGTGGGACCTAAGGCTCCTTTTATAGCACGCCTTCGTGTTTAAGTATGTATCGAAGACTGCAAATCAAAAAACAATAGTGCTTGTTTAGCGGATTATTTGAACATTAAAGTACACATTTCTCGGTTTCTCGTGAGTAACGCTCGGAATTAGGGTTATTCAGTATGAAAATAAATGAAAAATTAATGAACAAAGTAAGTATTCTCCTACAGCTAACCCAGTTCTGAATGAGTGCATTGTTTTGAAGTCGTGATATTATCAAACTTGACTGCTTGAAGGAAGCTGCACTTGCAAACTTTGTCACTACGATTAGTACACCTTTATTGCGTGTCAATCGATTTCTTCGCAACTTTTTTTAAAGGAAAAACTGAACGAAATACTGACACTTGAAAATTTTGAGTAAAAACATTATGATTTGCCAGTTTTACTCAATTTATACCCATTCTGCCATACTCTTTTTGCTTAAGAAAGGCCCGCAATCTCTGGGCGAGAGTTAACAAGAGGTACAACAAAAGCTCTGTTTCTTCTTTAGATTGATTTAGGTGAAAGGAAAACTATTACAGCTATCGCAACTCAAGGAAATTCTCACACGTATAAAGACTCTCGTTTAAGAGAGTATTACATACAGTACAGCGACGATAGCTCCAACTGGCTGGACTACACATTTGAGGGCCAACAAAAAGTGAGTCACTGTAATGCTAGACAAACGAAGGGGAAAAAATCAATAAAACAAGTAAACTTAAAGGATAGACTAAATTAAGTGGTAAGGTATACCATGATTGAGCCCGTATCGAGGATTTGTAGGACACATCGATCTGTAGTATGATGTGAGAGAATGTGTAAATGTAAATGACACTGGCATTCACTGGAGACTAGTGGCAATCTAGGCCACTTAACCTAATAAGGGTCATCGAGAAAAACTTCCTGAATACCCCAAGGAGAAGGATGTCGATATGTGATGCTTATACGTACTGATGATGTAAATGAAAATGGTAAAATTTCAAGCCTAGTACTTCAAACGTTTTATCATAAACCTATATAATGCTTGTGGTAAGCTATACTGTTCGACGAGGTACATAGCGACAAACTCCCTGGTAAATTTTAAGCCTAGTGATTTAAGTAGGGGAAAATGTTTTTCAGGGGATAATACAGACAAACTCAGATATCGAAACAAAAAAAGACTCCGAATGCTTCAATAAGGCATTGGGATTAGTATTTCCGCACGCTCTTTCACTGACTGGGCTATAGTAGACTGTTAAAAGCTGATAGTTTCGAAAGAAACTTTTAGAGGCTGCGTCGGTGGGAGTACCGAAATAATTTGGATATATCAACAAAGTTGAAATGGTAAATTGGCCACCGTAATCGCTTTTGTAATCGTTACGCTGGCCAATTTACCATTTCAACTTTGTTGATATATCCAAATTATATAGTAGATTGTTGGCAAGTTTAGCTGCTGAGGTGTATGGAATCAAACTTCCTGCATACTGCGAGGACAGGAATGTCAATATTTGTCGCTTATGCCCCATGATGGTGTAAATGAGGGTGGTAAATTTTTCGGCCTCGTGATTTAAGTAAAGGAAGATGTTATTCAGTGAATGACACGGGAAAACTCGAAAAAGAAAAAACAAAAACAAAAACAAACAAATCTCCGAGCTCCTAGTGCTCCCAGTAGGAGTCGAACTTACCACCTTTCGAGCAGTACTTGGGAAGTTCTACCACTGAACCTTAGCAAACTTATGGTGAGATTAGCCGTTTGACAGGTGACAACGTTCCTGCATACGGTGAGGGTAGGGATGTCGAAATTGAAATCTTTTTGAGTAATGATTATGAAGATGGTTATCGTAATTACAGAGGATGTTAGTCAGTTAATGACACAGGCACATTTGGCGAAAAAAAAATCCTATTGCCCCATTATGAATCGAACCTACGACTTTTCGAACAACACTTTGGTAGCTCTACCACCAAACTATTGGAGACTCGAAGGCCGTTTAACTAACTAGGCCGTTTAACTAGCGCGCTGTGACAGTATTGATAACAATTATAAAAACTGATATTCCGCAGCCAGAGAACGTAAGTATTACATAATGCTGAGTGTAGTTTTTAAATTCCATTTCATCTTTAAGGTATTTGATGGTTACAAAACGCAGGGGGCTGATATAAGAAGGAAGTTTTTTCCTCAGGCCATAAAAGCGAGGTACATCAGACTACGAGCCACTAAATGGTACGATTATATTGCCACCAAATTGGAAATTTACGGTTGTGAAGGTAGGAACAATAAGTTTTAAAATCAGCAAAGCAACGTTGCCACTTTAACTAAACAGTACTAACTTAACTCATTTCGAAGGACATGTCTCTTTCGCGTTAATGATAAAGCTGTTCTTTACGCTGTCGCGCATTTAACGAGTTGATTCATCAACTGTGTAGAAGTGATCAGTGCACTAAGGAAAAAAATTGTTTTTACGTCCGTAAAAGGCAACCAAAAAAAAATATATATATATATTTCTGTAGGTATGTATGTATATGTTCATTTACGAGAGAACAAGAGGTCAGGTACTCTTGTTGAATTTTTTTTTATCTATTTAGCATGTATTTCCTCATTTGTTACGGAATTTCTCGTGGAATATCTTTTGATAAAAGTTGATGCAATCAAACATCGGCGTCAGTGCGATAAATCCCTCGTTGAAATACGGAAGGATGACGTCAGCAAAGTGAATTCAAAGTCAAGTCAATTTCCAAGCTAAAAACTTAGTTAATCAAGGCCTCCATGAAAAGATGGTTAAAGACCATTTTTATGATGTTAGAACCGTTTTCTTTTTGTCTCTTAGCTTAACCACGTGAAGTTAGAGGCCGAGAGGAAAATAGTCATGCTCAATCAGTGAGACGACACTAGTATTGTCAGATTCTGTCACAATGCAACAACTCTACATTCTTGTTTTCATTTACAACGGGATACATCAATATAGTTAAATTCCTGAGTATTCGATGAAGATAATACTTTTATTCGTTAGGGCACATAAATTACACTGACCGTGTGAATTCTTAGGCAGGTCTGACGTTTTTGATACCTATGGTTACAGTGCAAATAGGTCCAATAAATGTAAATGCAGATCCTGTACAAGATTTTTTTTTGATAGAATTAATAGACTTAAGAATTTCTTAATTTTCTTTGGCTGTACGGGTGCAATAAAAATAAGTTCCTAGACAATCAGGGCGCTTGTAGTATCTCATTTTATCAAAAAGAGAAATAAAACTGGTAATAATCATGGAATACTAAATGTGTTCGATCTGGCTTAGGGATAGATTTGTAGTCACTCATTCTATCTAGTACGATCTCAAATGGTTTCAATTTATCCACATATCTTCTTACGCCATCCGGGCTGAAACGTGGAGTCAACCCATGGAGAGTTCAGTTTGCAGGCAGGATTCAAAGCTCTCGCATCAAATCGACGCGAGTAGTCAGCCAGTCCAAGATGGCGCCCCAAACCTGAAATCGCACCACTACTAGAAAGAAGCGATACAGATAGTATGCGTTCTCCTAGCGTTGCGTAAGTTTGGATTTGCATGAGCTAAGACTTGCAAATACTCGAGACAATCTTTTACCATGTGTCACTATACCGCCCTAACAAGATGCGGCCTTGGTTGATAACTCAGACCTCGGTTTTGATATTTAATGATATCATTTATTCAACAAGGAGATAAAAAAAAGTCTGAAAGGTGCTATGAAAATCCACTATTTTTTTTGCTCGATTTATCCCGGCGAGAGTTGTCTGCTCTGAAAACTTCTGGTGAATCTTTCTGTCGTACCCGCTGTCAACGTGCGAGGTCTTTTCAGCCTCCTTATCCCCCTTATTATGACCTCATCGACAGCTTTCTTGTCACAAGGCACTAACTACTTGACGGTTTATACGTGACCGCCGCGCACGTGGCAATCTCGTTTCGCGTGGTTTGACTGGAAGATAGCAGATGTACTCGTTTACTCGATTCCAGCACTTCGAGATGAACTTGTGCCGATCCCGAAAAAACGGATTACCGCCGTACAGATTTCGGAACTGTCCACCGAAAAGCTACAACATCTGTCACGCCTAACTAACACCTATCGACAACTTAATAATGTCATCATCCAACACGCACCAAGCGTTGATCACGCACACAAGTCACCCCATCCATTTTCAACTAATTGTCACGAAGCAATCACGAGAAAAGGCGAGCGATAAAAACCTCATCAGAACACTAAGATGATGAATAAAAGCTTTCGCATATCTTGCAATTGCAGTCAAAACCAAACAGAAGTCAGAACAGAACGGGTCTGTTCGCTCAAATAAAACCGTCAGAGTTCTTATATTGACATTTATGTTAATTGTTAAATGACAGCTCACCCTTGAGAAATATCATTAACTTACGATATAACCTGCTGCACCTGGGGTTCGTGTTGTTTGCATATTTCAAGTAGGATTATAGAATGGCGAACATGGGCCGGTAAGAAATCCTCTGAAGGCCGGCTGACGTGACATTTTGATCAGTTAAGCCGCAGTGACAAGACACAAGTCTATTTACGTACATTATGAACATTATGAAATTTAGAAACTTGATATGCATGCGTGAACTATCGCGGGGCTTCGGACTGAAGTTACGAACAGCCGCTCATTGATTACAGGGGTTTAAAGTAAATGGAAACTGACAGATCCACAAGGACATTTGCAGCTACATTTGAATAATGTGTTTCTGGTTTATACATTTATTACAATTTGATGATTGTCAACTATGAATGCTATATCGAAGAGAAGAAAACTAATATTGGAATGCCGCTTCTCAAAGGCAGATCCAGAACAATAAAAGTGGAACCTTCGATTCATAACAAGTCAGGGAATATTCCGTCAGAGGAAGACGTAAATTCTAAAGAAGTAGGCAGCGACGACGGGACAACAATGCCACCATATTTATCAACTTTGAAATTTCAGCTGAAGCACTTGGACGCCGACATGGTTCGGCAATCGGACTATTTGGAGGAAGGAATTGAATACACTTCTCTTCCAGCGCATAAAACTAAAGGAACACAAACCATCACTTTACCATTGAACATGCCTGTTGTGAGGAGCGAGAAACTATGCTTTCGTCGAAAAGGCGACAGCTCACCTAATTTTAAGCACCGGCTGAATAGTTCAGTTACGGACGATTGTTCTACGGTTTCACTTGCTGGGTCACACACGCATGGACAAGAAAACGACGTGAGTAAAATCATAGATGGTTCCGACGATACTGGTTCAACAGCAGGAAAATGGTTCAGTGACATCGATAAATTAACGAGCTTCAAAGCCAAGCACAAAATTGAATTCTTCTCCAGAGAAAAGAAGGAAATAGAAAGAGAATGGACGTCGACTCCAAAGAAATTTTACAAGTGTATTTTGAATTGTAGACAAAAGCAATTATCTCAGTGTAATCGTTTCCGAACCTCTAAGCGCGATCCTAGTCAGGGATCGAAAAAAGTTTCCTTCCCTGCTGATGTTATATTATTTTCTGCTATCGAGGAAAATGCGTCGAAAGAATTAATTGAAATAATAAGGATTCACAAGATTGATGTTAATTTAAGTAGAAATGCACGCGGACTTCCTCCCCTTCATCGAGCAGTACAGCGCGGAGCTGTTGAATGCGTTCGAGTTATTCTGAATCATTCGGCGGATGTGAATTTGAGAGACTCCTTAAATCGCCCAGCTATCAATCTAGCGATTTCAATGCGCCAATTTGAGTGCATTGTGCTTTTGATCGAGTCAGGAGCTAGCGTAGCTGAGTACACAAACCAACGCTTACAGGATTATGAAAACGTTCAGACTTTATCGAAGAGCTGTTATCGATCTTTCGAGGCCAATGTTTAACATGAATGATATTCGAACTCCTCGAGTAGCTTAAAATCGCCGCTCAGTTACAAGGTCATTCTGTATTTTTAGCTTACAATAGCGTCAAAGCCGTTTTATCGGTTGATAATAAAAAGAACCCACTGAAGCATATTTTTGTGGTTTTGTGGCCCAGTATTTTACCGTTATTTTCTCCTTGAGACACCGAATAAAGATGTATTATTATACGAAAAAAATTAGGACAAATTTTGGCTAAGTAAACGATTGTTCCTTTAACACGTGTATTGTTTACACTATTGAGCATCACCACATTTAGCATTATAATTTTCTTTCGCAAAAAACAATAGATCTCAAAATTGACACGTGCCATTTTTGTGATATTAACATAACTTTTTTTTATTATCGTTTTTAACATTATCATTTTTTCTTAGTATTTGATCGATTGCCTAAATATTCGGCAAACTAATTTTGCAAAAGAAATGTTCAACAGAATTATCTTCAACTTTCAATTTGATGAACGTGTCGAAACGTATGCCACGACTAGATAGCAAACCTTCAGTTTCGAATCCATACCTTTCCATCTTTTTTAGTGTCAGCTCCGACGAGCCAATGTTAATAAGGCGAAGCTTATGAAATTGATTTTCAGAACGGGGAAAGCAAATTTTCTCTGCATGAAAGCGTTTCAAAGATGGAAAATTTAAATGCGTTTGTTATTGAAATGAATATTGTACAAGAAATACTGATTCAATTTTCAGATGAATCTGTCATCACATATCAGTTAGCACCCGAGAAGCAAGTAGTTGTCCTCTCTCCAATTTGAGATTGAAAATATTACAGAAGAAAAAACCAGGCAGCGAAGTCGAGTAATTTCACTTTTTTTAGTCGGGTTAGTCCTTGGTCTATCGTCTAAAATAAGATGTTCATTCATACAGGACCAAAACAAAGCAGTATATTGGATTATTCGAATGATATTCGCGATATTTTAAGAACTCTTAGCAAATTGCTAATGATTGCTTCTTAGCGGACGGTATAAGATTTAAATATGTACATTTTTTAGCACTATCCCATATCGTCTTGCATATTTTGAATTTCTGTTCCCTATTGGATTAGGTACGCGGCTAAGTGATCGACAATGGCCTTCGAATTGATCATGGTGTTTCGTTTGGCTGATAATTTGATGATGTTTTTGAGGAAAGAGTACACCCTCCTAACAGGCGGACGTTTCTTTGTATAACGTCTATTTCATTTGCCTTTCACTCCAGCTCTTCCTTATGATTATCTTAGCGGCAAGAACACAGTGACTGAATTCGCACGCTATCAGAAGCCTAAGTGAAATGTAACAAACCAGGTGTGAACCCTTGACAGTAGAATATTTCGAAATATTTGGCGCATATACTAAATGAATAAGTAGTCATAAAGGAGAACATTCTCTTGTCATAAATCATGAGACCGGCGGTATATCGTTACCTCAATTCATTATTTTTTTCCGAATAGAGCAAATGTTGAGGATTGGAGTTAAGCCGGACTTATGAAATGCACGCGATTATACTGAGATGGTTTCCGAGTAGTCCTTGTTCTAAGTGTCGTACATTTACCTACTGAGATTAACTTCCACGGACATTAGATTAGAGAGCTTTCGATTTTTCGACAAGTTTGACCACAAGGATGTGAGGTTTGACTCCTCTCCTGCTTGAATGAAAAAGTTTGACCGAAAGAATGTGAGATTTCAGACTCCTCTCCTGCTTGAGTGATGAGTGAAAAAGATATATATATATATATAGAAAAAGGTTAATTATTAAAGGGAAAAATTTAAAACAGATATAAAGCAAAACCCGCTCTTTAATGGTGAGAGCTTAGGTGTGGGCTTATTGTCACCAGGAGAAGACCCACAAAGCAGGTTCCGTGCGGGCCAACTGTTCGATGATCTGTTAGCAGGTCAGTTTATACTCTTGGTCGTACTCGTCTTAGATCTCAAAGGCCACAAGAAGTCAGCATTTGAATGGATAGATTTTGAGTTTGTCCGAGTTAAAGCTCGTTATCAAAGAAAACTGCGAATGATAGGCCTAAATCTATGAGGTGTATCATTAGTAAAGAGACAGTGGTCTTTGTATTAAACGTGAACGGTCTCACAAGCGAAGGATTATACTACGAAAAAAATATCTTTAAATGTAAGATATTCTTATGGATTCTAAATCAGATAGCATAACTGGTGTTTTTTCGTGACCGATTGTTGACCTCATTACCATTACCTATTATTAATCTTGCCAGATGTTCTTTCCGTGTTTTTAAGCTGTAAATCTGCGGTTTTCAGATTGGTGTACGGTGACGACATTCCGGAATTTTCAAGCAAGGACAGAACTGGCTTGAACGGATTTTCTCGACTTTTTCTTTAGGTTGGCTACCTCAAGATAACGCGTGGCAAAAGTTATCTTTGATCGCAGATGTTACAGATATCACTAGATTCGTAGTTTTAAACATTTGGTATTGTTGGACTCAAAGAACTGTTCGTACATTATTATGATGAATGACAACTAGCAGAGTTACATTCTTGCAGACGTCACCAAATACAAAGACTTCAGGAGCAGTGCCATTAATCAACTATTCAGATAACCTTGTACAGTCTGCCAAGTCTCACCCCACTATTGGCATACCTCGAAAATTTGAGCTCGTGTTATCTTGTGCATACTGTTGTTTCAGAAATTATCTTTTTGGACTATCCCAGGTTCGATATCGACACCTGATTATAGTCAAACTACATCTGTTTAATTTTGGAATATTTCAGGTAAAGACGATTTACACACTTCTGACGTCCAACCACACATGATGCGCGACTGCGGCATTTAGCAACTTTTAACCTTTTTTAAAAAAGCACAATGAGAGAAGTAGGTGATAACTTTGGGGTACTGCTTACTCCGAACTTTTTCTGGGCTTCCGATGTTTTCCGGGCGTGAGTTAAGTATAGTTGAATGCAAGTATATAGTCAATTCCATGTCACTCCGTCTAGATCTCTAACTAGGGATAAGAAAAAAAATAACTGAACAGCTTCTTGAAACTTCCTCTCATTTATAATACATTAACACCGGTTTCGTCCAATGTACAGAACAGTTTATTGGATCAGTCACAAACCGGTTTCGCAGTCATTGCCGGTCTGCATTTCACAAGTAGGTGACGATGGACGAGGATTATTTTTAGACCTTTGAACATCGACAATTGATAGCGACGTGAAGCTACTCAATAGGAAAATACGGCTTTTGGATGATATGTGTAAACATAAGAACATGCTGGGATTGAGAAATGCAACTCTAGACAAGAAGTCAAGACTAGCTTAACACCACAATCGGCTATGAGCAAAAGCCATTTATAGTTTACTTTACGTGTTCCTTTCTTTAAAGCGCTAATCTACTTCGCATCACCGCGCATGACTTTGGTCACAATAGGAGGGCTGCATGTGTCCCATGAGGATCAAAGCCAACGTCTACGATGATCTTTCTGACTTCAGCAGTCGAACTCAAAGATGCGGACTGGAAGTAATACCATGCTACTAAGAAAAAGGCACCTCGGGTATGGTGAAACTCTCGTTTACTTCTTGAGGTTTTGGTCATCGAAAGAAGATCACTTTATGTTAACATGAATATTCATAACCTGGTTTGAGCTTTTGGTGGATTGCGGATTTAAGTATATTTCCACGCGAAAGATGGCCAGTGACGAAAAGATTCTCGACGAGTTACACTTCCTTTCCTGGAAAATCGACACGTTAGAAAGGAAACTTGAATCAAGTATGTCTATACAAAGGGACTTAACTGTTAGCTTACTCCAGGAAGACAGTTCATTCGCCGGTTCAGTATCACCGTTCAAGAAATTTGAGCGGAGAAAATTTTCCGGCTCAAGTTGTTCAGAAGCGGTGTCCAGCGACGATGAACATAACAGTTCACACCTGGATGGCACAAACTTTTCGGTTCCAGAAAAGGAACCCGAACGCAGCACTTCATATCTTATCATACCCGTCGGCCGCTACAAAGACAATGACTCTTGTTCAATTTCAACGGAAAAACAAACTTTCAGATGGTCAGAAATGGATGACAATGCTTGTAAATATTTCACCTCTGACGACGCGCTGAACGGTGACAAAGACGGTGACTCAAAGGGAAAATTAGATGTAAACGCGAGGGATTTGAATGCTTGTGATACCCCAAAATCGTTTGCAAATCAGGTAACACCGCCACCGAGCCAAAGCAGATTTGATACAAGCGGAAAACAAATGTGTACTCAGTGGAATGTACGTGTTTCCGAGATAATTCCTTCAGGAAACTGTTTACTTAGCTCAAGAGGATCACATTCCATTGCCGACGATCAATTTGAAGATCAACTTAATGTAGGGAGCGCTTTTGACATTAACTACGATGAGGAGGAGAACTTAGACTTACCAAATGGCAACTCAAGCTCTTAATATGGCCTTACGATTGGCATGACAACGGCAAAAGGGTTACCTCAAGGTGTTAGCTCTAATCATTTAGACTCAAAACAAGATGTTGATGAACAGAATTATCTACAATTTTACAATTCAGAGAAATTTAAAAGCAACTTTTCAACGGGCGAAGTTGAGGAGAAGAGGGCTGAAGTGCAGCAATTGAGGCCTTTGTTCGAAGAATCAACAACTCAATCAAGTCATTCTTCCAATGAGACAACATTTGATCAGATTTACAATCACCCTCCAGAGTCAACTGACTGTAACAAAGTAAATTACAAACAGAGCTCGTTTGATTTTACTTCTGAAATCGATGTTTGCAACCCGGAGAAGGAAAGTAATCCTTCTTTTAACGTGATTTGCATTGATTCAGAGTCATCTGAGGTCGATGATAGAAACTGCGATTTTGTTGACGTTGTGCGACGAGCTTCTTTGTCTTGTCAGGAGAATCTTGACACATCAAATGCAAATTGGGTCGAAGGATTTGAGCAGCCATCATCGGCAAACATCGATCCAGAAAAGAAGCAAGCAATGCCAGTTTATTCCCTACCTGTGAAAAACAAAAATTCCGAAATGGATGTTTATTTACCTCAACAAATGGAGCCATTATCGAACGGAAACCGCCGACTTCAACAAGGCAAATTAAATTGCAACGCTACTGCGAGTAATAAGGTGATTGAAATGCAAATAGGTGGCTCTCCAGATGAACAAAGACACGAGCATTCTTATTGTGCTCGAAAACCATTTGAAGTTGAGACTCTTTTAACAAACAATGGAGCCAATAAACAAAACGACAGCACGAGAAGTAGTACACACAACCAAGGCATCCCGAGAAATGTCAACAACTACGGCGACAGTTCAAGGGAGGCGCTGAAAAGAGTAAACAGAACAAAGCCCTCGCAGCGAGCGGTTGATGGCCTTATTTCACAGTTTGAGGACCAAGCTTATTGCATTGTCGGATATAGCAATGATTACAAATTAATTAACACTGATAGCATTAGAAGGACCGCTGTGCACAAACCAAAGACCAAAATCTACCCAGTACCCCCTAGTTATGAACAAGTTATTGAAGAACGTGTCCGTATTCTAACGCGAGGACCACGCGCGCATTTAGGACAAGAATTGTTCCAGAACTACCTCCAGACAGAAGGAAAGTCATATGTTGATGGCACACAAACGAAATTTCGTTTCGGTTCAGAAAGCAGATCTTCTGAGCCGTCAATGTCAGCTATAAGTGACGACGTGTTTTTTGACTCCGCACCAGATCCAATTTCGGTCAACCAAACGTCATCCAAAAACCATTCAGCAACCTACGATGTATCAGAATCAGACAGCTGCTTCTCTTCTATTACAAGTGTCAGTTCCACCAACGAAGGAATCTACCCCTGGAAAATCCGCAATGACTCGCTCTCTCGTGATCATGAACATGATAAGAAAATAATTTCTCGACAGCCTCAAGATTCCTTAAGCATCACAAAACAGTTATCTTCCACCAGGTCGTACCAGAGGGATAGTGACTCTTCATCAGACAGCGAGTCCTGTGTGCGTGGTTTCAAGCTCTCTCCGTTATCACGCTCTCTTCGTGCTCAGTCTCTCCAAGAGGAGCTCGTACAACGTATTGTTCCTCCGAGAGAATTCATCCGAGGCCACGATAGGGTTTCATCACCAACCTCAAGTTTAGACACAAGTGAGCTCTCTATGAATGACAGTGTCTGTGGATGCTTGTATCAGTGCGAGTGTCAAACAGGAATTCCTTCGGCTGAAGACTTCAGGGACGAATTAAAAGCTATTTCTACTTGTGTCTTGAAGGCGCGCATCGAGTCTGCATCTCTGTACAAAAAGCCCCCGGTGAAATACTTCCTAGATGAAGAGCAAGGAGAAATGGATATTTTCCATGGTCGTCTTCAAAAGAAAGAAAGTAAAAATGTTCCAGTGTTGGTGAGAGTTATTCTTAGGCTTCGAAAGCACTTTTTTGGTACATTGGAATCAAAATCTGCCCATGATAACAAAACTCGAAGCGATGCTAATAACAATGAATTCAACCCAGTGGGAAAAATCGGAGACCAAACATCGGGAAGGAAGCAGCGAGACCGTAAAATTACCTTTTCTCCTTCTGCTATGCTCCTTAGCGCAATTGGAGAGAATTCAGCCGCTGAAGTGAAAGAAGTCATCGAAAGGGAGAGAATAGATGTCAATCAGCTTAGTCCAAGTGGTCGCTCGTTATTGCACAAAGCGGCAGCAGCCGGAGATCTTGAAAGCATTCATACACTCATCCAGTATGGCGCCATGGTGAATATCATAGACCAAGATGGCTTTCCACCCATTCATTCGGCACTCAAAAAAGCTCACTTCAAATGTGCCATTCTACTTATTGAATACGGCACTGACGTTACACGGTACACAACAGAACGCATCCGGGAATTCTTAGAAATTAAGGAAATGTCATTAGGACACTTGCCGGTTCTTCTTAAAACAACTTTGTGACTTTGTGACTTTACTAGTTAAAGCCAAGATTAGACTCGAATGCTTTACTCGACTAACAGCAGCCATAAATTTACAAACTGCAAATTTAACGGTCTGCTTGATGAAATTAATTATGCGTTAGTCAGTTATGAATCTGATTTATTACAGTTGGCTTTAGTTGAGCAATTAAGTGTTTGCGCTTTTTGGAAATAAGTTTTCTCTATTGAAAAAAGGAATTTTCATTGGGCATAGATCACAAACATGAATAACGAAATAAAAATGGAAAAATATTACGAAAACTGAAGATAAAAAATCGAATTATACTCTCAGAAGAGTTCGAAATCGCGCCATCATCATAAGTTGTAGGCGAAAAAAAGCGCTTTACCAAGCATCACAGGAGTCAAAAATAGCTTGACGACATGACATATAATCCCACATCTGTCAGCAACGTACCTTCTGACAAGCGCTGGTTGGCTTGTTTTCATGGGATTTCAAGTTTCTCATTCTGTTGCTTTAGCTGTGCCTTTCTCCAAATCAGGCTCTTTTCTAAATTTCCATGGCTTTGACGACCATTTCATCAAACTTTGTGTCTCGAAAACTTTGTGTCAGTATTTGAAGAACTACAGAATCTGAACCCTTCCCTAACCCATAGTTAACCTACATGTAACTTGTTATCAGTTGACTGTTGTTTGGTCGGGGAGGGGTAGATGCGCAATTGCTCAGCGATACTGAATTTGATGCGCAGCATATAAAAGCTTGGTAACCACTTGCGATGCATTCAACATGGGTATTTCAATTTCGATAAGAAAATGCTGCGGCGACTTAGTTTTGAGAAATCGCTGCAAATTAGTAGGCATAACCTACTTGACGTTGTCTATCGAATGAACCATTCAAATAAAAATGTAGTCATTATCTGCCTCGATTAATTTCGTTCAAGAAATTCCCTTTTTTCATAGAAGTAATTCAAACCTGTTGTAGGGGAATTTAACTGAGGTAACGAAAGCTATGCATGTTTATACTGTTGGTAAGGCGTCCCATTTGGATTCAATCTCAACACAATTAGTTTAGTAAGTGATTTTAGTTAACCAGGGTAACCCATTAAGAAACGAGGCTGGTATCCATAGGGGCCATGGGGAATAAAGATATGTACAATTTAAAAATTTTAAATTGGAGTAAAAGTTAGAAAAACTCTAAAGAACATTTAAAAGGCTAAATTATACAAATATGATAAAATGTTTATAGATTTCATGAGGACAAAATTACAAATAAAAATGTTAAATCTTCAAACTTTTAAAGTAACTCATGGAGGGGGGCACTCTTAATACAAGCTGTTAAAATAGATTTTTCCTGCTTACTTAAAAGTTCTCTTTCCCATATTGTGTTTCGACTTTGGTGGGTGCAGGTCGTTTCTTCTTCGAATCGCATGATCATGAAAAGCCTTATTGCTTGTAAAAGACTGAGTAAGATATTTTGGAACCAAACTATTTAAGCACTTAATTAAAACTAAAATACATTCATGCAGTGTCCTTCTCTAGCCTAAACTTAACCAGTTAAGCACGCGGAGAGTGTCTTTTGAAGTATTCCTTCGAAGAATAATTCGAGCCGCACGGTTTTGAAAAATTTCACCCATCAGCATAGTCAAATAACGGCTGCACGAGCGAAGTATGTACCTTTTTAGAGGCTTCCAGTGTGAGACATGATCGTATACGAGTCAGAAACCCAAGTCGACTGTTGGCTTTGCTACTCACATACTCGACGTGATCTTTCCAAGAAAGTGTTCCGTTCAACACAACACCCTAATAGTTAGATTTGGCTACCCTTTCTAAGACCTTTCCGTGTAGCTGAATAGAAAAGTTAGGCGATTTGCAAAGACTTCGAAAGAGCATTTATTTTGGTTTACTCTGATTTAAAATAAGCTTGTTACTTTCCGTCCATTGCGCTACTCGATTTAAATCATCCTGTACTACCTTATTCATCTTCAAAGTACAGGGACTTGTAGAGTATAATACAGTGTCATCTGCATACATATTAAGAAAACAGTTTTATAAGCACTGGGGCAGGTCATTTATGTATAAAACAAAAAGAGGCCCTAGAATTGAGCCCTGCGGAACACCAAATTGGATGGCTTAATTAGCTGGAGGACAATTCCTTTCCAAAATGTACCCAAAGTGTTCGTGTCATAAGATAGCCTAACAACCAATCCAGGGTATTTCCTCTGACTCCGTAGTGTTCTAGTCTGTAGAATAAACATTCATGGTCTACTAAGTCAAAAGCTTTTTTCAAGTCAATAAACACAGCGCCAGTGGCTATTTGTCCATCCACGGGATCCAAAATATGATCGGTGAGATAAGCCACTGCAGTTTCCGTGGAGTGTTTCTTGCGGAAACCTGATTGGTGGATTGACAGTAAATCATGCATAGTTAAAAGAGCGAAGAATTGAGGTGACGATCACTTCATTTGACGAAAATCGTAGAAAAAAAGCTGCGATATTCTAGTGTTTACCTTTACTTAGACGTTCCTACTGATAGTCTTGACAGCAGCAAGAAAAAGGAAAAAAATATAAAGTTAACGAATGTCTTCGAATCCATGAACCATCTTGAATCATTGTTAAATAAAAGCAAACGGAATCAGTTCACTTGCCTCCCCTTTGGTCTGGCTCCAGTCCCTATTTTATTCGTAAAGCTGCCACCACCAATCGAGTCTTGGTAGAAGATATAATTGTGCTCAATCCGACTCCGAGAAAAGAAGGACACAACCCTTTGTAGTTGCAATCTATGGAATACCCGGGCCTTGTGATAAATTCTTTGGAAATGTGCTTTGGCAGAAGACTACCTCAGTGACAAACCCAGCCAAAATCATTGGAAAACTGGCTTCAAGTTCATCAGTTCAGAAAATTCTCCCAACACCTCTGCATTGCTACACTCACAAATGTGCATATCAAAGAACGAATAGCAGGGATGAAGTTTAAACATCATTGATGCTTCTTTGAGAAATAAAATTTGATTTTTATGGGCTGGAGAGGTACTGTATTAAGCAATGGGCTTATTTCTCGACTTCCCTTACATTTAGTCTCTGTTTGTATAGATATTTTCCCTTGGTGATAATTAAACCTATATAACCACTGACTTATTAGGAAGAACACAAGGTGAAATTCTCAACATTGTCAACCCTGACGAGGGCTCTTACGAAGCAACGAGAGGTTTACATTAGCAACGACAGGTTTACATTAGCTCGTGTTCATTTGTGCGATGGCCATGTTTGATTAAGAGTTAGAGTGGATAGTAGGGGGAGGGGTAGGGAAAGGCGGAAAGACTACTTCTTTTCTATTACCGTACCACCTCCTCCTCCCTCCTACCTTTTGATTGTCGTTCGCTCACCACCATTGTACAAATTTAACTTTTTCTCCCTAACCTTCCTCTGCTGTTAAAATGAAATATGGCGGCTGTTGAATAACATTCCAACGATCAGCTGCGAAAGAAACTATTGAGGATACCTGATGGTATATACTCTTTGCCAAATATTATCATAGGTTTACTACTGGCTACTTCAGATGTTTGATTGATTTCTCTTCAAATGGTCGAAATCAATCAATATCCACAGAGAAGCCCTCCCTCTGTGAGAAGTATGATCACGTTGAAACACGAGTTTAATAATTAACACAGTTCAGTGGTGAACGAATTGATTTAAGTAGTTTAGCTTTTAATGCAGATGAGGTATAAAGGATTATAAAGTTAGTTAGTTCATCGAAAGAGGAATAAAAAGCTAACTTCCACGAACACTCTCAGCTAGGTAGATCTTTTAGAATGGACTCAATTAGGGATTGCGCGCGCATTCCAACGAGGATGATGTTTATTTCAAACCACACTTAGTATATGACTATACCCTTATGCGAGTGGGTTAAATATGCATAAACACTCACGTTTAGTAAAGCAAAATTTGCCCAAAGCTATGCTGGAAGGTAGAGTTGTCATTGCTAAAATATAAAAACTTGCAGAAAAAACAATGAACTTTGTAGGGCCTCTTCGAAAACGTGATCCAATTTACATGATATCTAGATGACGGCCTGACAAGTATGATTGATTGCGTGTATAGTTTGAAGTGTGATATTTTAAATGAAGTGACAATTTTTTTTTAATCGTTAGAAACAGGTTAGGATTTATGATAATAGTTTCTTTTTTTCAATTCAACGCTTTAAACATGGTAAGCGTTAAAGATGAAACTCCTGGGTTGATAAAAATTGATGACGATGCTACAATTTCGCCAAACGAGATCAATGTTTGCAGCTAATGAAAAAATTTCACGATATGAGAAATTTGTAGGAGTTTGCCTTTACAAGAGTCGAAATAACTATTCAAAACCCCTCTTACGTATCGTTGAGTCGAAACTAATAGCTGGTCCCAAATATAGTTCTAAAATTAAAACGAGCTGATTTTTTCCCTTTGACTGTTACATTTACTCCAATTTTTTTTGGAAAGCGATAGACTATGAACATAATTTTTTCAAAGTAAATGGAGACTTCTGAAGAGAGTTAAAAATAGAGACAAATTGGAGCAAATTTTGACTGTTCAATGTGGGGTAAACCGACCCTCGAACGTTGACATCACTTGTTATCACAATCGCTTATATCCCTACTTTTGTTTTATGAATGAATTCAAGAAGGATACACGTCACCCGGCTTTATAAAAATATCAAGAGATGTTGAGAAATCTATAAATCAACTCCTTCAATCCACCATGTTAGCGGGTGATATGTGAAACGGAGCCGGCTTTCTGGATTTTTATGACGCAAAAGTGCCTGGAAATTTTCACTGTGTTCTTTTCATGGTTTGGATCCTAAACGAAGATTTTATTCCAAATTTCGGTCAAATGGGTGCGAAGTGGCCGAGATATACTGAAATAGGTTAAATCTTACAGACTATTTCTCATTAATATGACATAAAATTTAAAAAAAAATTTAATTGGAAGCAGACAAATTGGTCCAGTCACTGACCCGCCGGATGGCAATTGGCTGAATACACCAGTTCTACCTGGTTCGATTCATTTCGCCTCAGGACAAAACCCAACGTCACATGCCAATCATGTGAGTACAGCAGCTCGTCATTCCGATTCAAAAATTTGGGCTTGTTCACACCTCTTACCTCTTACCTCTACATGGTTTTTCTGAGATTACACTGCAATAGCATTGTATTTTTCCATCGTGGTGAAAACAACTAATTTGTTTTCATACAAGTAAATTGCGTCTTTCAAGTGCTCACGTGATATTTTAATCATGCAGACACATTGCTGGTAGCATTTTTGGATCCATGGATCCCTTCGTTCAAGAAACAAACCCTCAGAAAACCTGTTTAACAGCGAATAAACAAATCATGATACAAAAGAAAAAAACTCTTTACGCAGTATATGATGTTAGATCTACCTGATTTGCACTTGTGGTGAGAGACACCATTTTTATTGTCTGTTCTTCGTTTTGTTCATTCCAGTCGACCAATGATACGATGCAAAGGTCAAAATTTATCATGATAGTCAAACTAATTTGCCCTAACGGTCATAATCTCAGATAACATACGATAATGGGCATTTTAAGGGCATTAATTACAAATAGATGTCTGTTTTTTGGGGGTACAACAGAACGCCGCTCTGATTGGCCCAAGTTGGAGTGAATTCATACAAAAGTATTGGTTGATTTATAGAGTTTCGCTGAAACACTTGCAGTTCAGTCATCTGCGCTGCTCGGTCAGGTCAGGCAAGATACCTTGGTGAGTAAAGTTTGAATCATTGAATCTTTAACTAACGTAAGCGACCTACATTGCGAGCCGAGCACTTCGTCAAGTGTTAATGTGTATCACTGATCCTTTTCGCAGTAGAAAGAACATACTGAAAAACCGAAAAATCAGGGCGATTTGATGTAAGAGCTACTATCATTATCAAGAATCATTATTGTTTTTAGTTAGAATTATAAGTCATGATCAAAATTATAGATTGGCTTAATTGCTACAATCTTTGATTCCACCTTCGTCGGTGCAGTGGGCTCATTTGCTGTAATGAAATTGTTCACGCTGTCTGAGTACATAACATCTCGTAGGAAAAGTAGTCAATATGAGAATACGTGGAGGTTTTCGAAAGTGGATGATGATTTGTTTAATCAGAGGCAGACCATCCTGCAAGTGCGTCGTGGGAAAAATCTAAGGGAATGTTACGATTAATGCAGTAAATTAAATGATTTTCAACACGTCGCGTTCTGGAAACCTTTACCAGACGAAAAAAGAGGCTTTTTTGCCTCCCCGAGCAGTTTAAAAGGCGTGTTTTCCTAACCACTCCCGACTTTTAGCTTTTGACGCAATGGACTTAGAGTGGGCTCCTTACTGGGCACCGCTTCACAAGCTACATAACATGTGAAATTCGAGGCGGATAGCGAAGTAAGCATGCCAAAGGCCTATGAGAGGCCAAGCAGCTTCATTTAAGTTAGACATTTAAATTCTTAAGCAAAGAACTTCTATAAAGACCGAAAAGTTAGGGTATCAGTTAATATTGGAGGTGAGCTGGGGCAAATTTTGACTGTTCAAGGCTGGGTAAAGCATCCTTCGAACGTTGACTTTACTTGGTAACAAAATCAAACATTTCCCTTCTTTTTATTTATGAATGAAAATAAGAAGAGTACACCCTTATAGAATTTCAAGAGGTGTTGCATAAAATTTCGATTAATACCTTCAATCCACCATGTTAACGGGTGATAAATCACACTGCGCCATCTTTCTGAATTTTTACTTAGCAATACACCCTGTGCAACATGGCATTGTTGCAGGCAAAAAAACGATGAAACAATGAAGAGATCTCAAAGGCAGATTTCACACAAACAGTATAAAATTTGAATTAGTAATAAGGTTGTGTTAATTAATCATTGTAAAAAAAACTAATTTGATTTCACAAGTGACAATCGAATCTTTCGAGTGCTCACGTAATATTTCGTCCTGCAGACAGTGATGATATCATCGCTGGAAGCATGGATCCCTTTACTCAAGAAACAAAACAGCAGGAAACCTGTTCAACAGCGTATTAATAAATCGTGATACAAAAAATATCTCTTTATAATAACTGTTATGTTAAGTTATTCCATGTGCTTGCGGCGAGAGATGGCGCCATTTTCATCGTCTGTTCTGTGTTATGTACACTTAGTCGACTAATGATATGCAGCAAAGGTCAAGACTACCTTTCATAATCACACTAATTTGCACTACCTGTCATAAAATCAGATAAAAGTACAATAATGGGCATTACTTGCCAAAAGATTGTTGTTTTGTGGGTTTTTTTTTTTTCGGATATACAACAGACCTCACTGTCTCGCCCCAATGGAGGTGAATTCATCGAATAGTATTGTTTGATTTATAGAGTCTCAAAAACTTGCAGGTCAGTCATCTCTGCTGCTGAGTCAGGCTTTTAATGTCTTCAAGGGGTAAAAAAGAGCTTACTTCAGCTTTCGGAAGGACAATGCAGCTCTCTCTCCTAATTTGCTTAAGTTACTTTCATTTCTGTTAGTCACAACTGAGATAGCGCGGTGTACGAGACTCAAAAAAATGGCGAGTGAGGCCAGTTCAGACGGAAGATCCAGGTAATCACGTCCAGCGTGCCCACCATACATTTCGATGAAATTCCTCAGTGCATAGACTCAGTTCACGGGAGCGTTGTTGTTTGGAAAACATCACCGAAGCGATCTTTGTCTCAATCATATTTTTTTTTCTATGCACACTCAATAATCCATCTGTAGTGCCGTTTTACCGACAAAAGTTAAATGTAAAAAGGTCATATTTTGATGGTTATCTTCACTTACCGAAATATGAAAAGTTCACAATGAATAATTAATAATTGGTTCACACCACACCGTACACTATTGAGTTATGGATGCACGCGGGAGGTTGCTACGCACGAAAGAAGCGTAAGTGTCGCCAGAGACGATAGCCGAGAGCAACTCTAGCTTCTCGAGCGTTTAGTCAACCTCCCAGGTGCATTCACAGCAGGCAATTTCTTGCGAAACATTTGCTTATCTGGAAAAATTTGCTCATGTCAGCAGCGTACACCCATGGGCAAATAGTAGACACTGAATTGACCAATCAGAGCACGCACTTTTGAGTTGGGTTTTGAGTTAGGCGGGAATCGAACACATGTCGCTTAAAGTGACAACCAGACGACAAGATCGAAGTAACAAGTGCACATTCCACAAATGATCGAATAAAAATTACTAAAAAAGGCTAACTTTTATCCTAGTTCTAGGTACCTTCCGAGGGTTGTGACGCTATTAAAACTTGAGTCGCACAACCGCTCCACCGCACAAACTCACGGTTTTCCGCATACTTCCTCAAAATTAGCAATCTTCCATAACACTTCTCTCTGTTAGTATGGCTTTCCAAACAGTTGGTCGCTCCCGACAACAGCAACTACTTACTGTTTATCACTACAGAAGATGGCAATACTCAAGGAGACGAACGACAGTGAACGAAGCCATGCTTTTAATAATATGACTCCTGAGGGATTCTGGGGAAGCACCAAAAACTACTTCATCTAACACTTACTACTACACGACAGACCTTGTAGAAATTTTTAAGGTATTCCAGAACACTCCAGAAGCTTTCAATACAGCTATCTTGGTAATGTAAAATCATAACAATAAAACCTAACGAAATGTTCCAGAAAGTTCCATGAAAAGTTCATGTATGCAACTCAGCAGGACTACATAGGCATTCTAGAAATTTCTATTTGATTTTGTTTTCTGTTTGTCCCTCGAGATGCTATAGCTATAGTAATTTTTTAGCTACCCGGTTTGAAATGGTGCATCAAAATGAAGTGCTACTATTAATATAAAAAATGAACGAAGGGGTAAGAATCTAAAGAAACTGTAGTGATACGTTGGTAGGGGAGTTACACAAGATGATTTGGTTTTATCAACTGAGTTTACAATGTAAATTGCCCACTGTAAAGAGTTTCAAAGTAACTTTGAAACTCTTTGCGATGGCAAACTCAGTTGATAAAACCAAGTTAACATATTACCATTACATCGTTCCCTGTCTTTCTGTCTCTTATTATCATTATTTTTTATTCCTTTTTTAGACTGTTGGTATTTGCGGGTGTGAATATGGCGGTCGAGAAAAAGCGTCGAAGAGGCTTATCTTCCCTTCAGTTATTTTTCTGTGGAGTGGGGCATGTGATCAATGACAACACTCGCCGCATGCTACATTCATTCCGCATGATTTTTCTCATGAGGGTGGTTGGCATTTCTGCAACCAATGCCGGCTTGATATCTTCTTACAATTATTTTGTCGGTGGAATCATTTTTGCTCCAGTAGCAGGTTTTTTATGTGATAAGATTAAAATTCCAGTTCTGTCGCGCCGGCATGGAAAAAGAAAATCGTGGCATTTGATTGGATCTTTGGCAGCAGCTATAAGTATTCCACTCTTTTTCAGCAAATGTTTTGTTTGCGGAAGTGGAACCAATGATTGGGTGGTGCTGTTATATTACTTTATCGTAGCCACCATAATCTCATTTTCCATCAACTTCGTTGACATCTCCCACTTGTCGGTTATTCCTGTTTTGGCAAAGAATCAAAGTGACGCCGCCAAGCTTACTTCTTTAAGGTTTGGAAACCTATTTCAATCACTAAACTCACTATTATGTTGAATAAGCTGAGAAGATGGATTTTAGCTAAAAATCATGTTAATTAGGTCAAAATGATAGTGTTCATTGCGCAGACTGCGTGGAAGCACGTGTGATGACCAGATACACTCTCCCTGCCGCACGGATTGTGACCGGAGAATTTAGTCAAACAGTACAGCAGAGTTACCATGCTGGACGTGTGTTTTTCTGTGAATTAGCTGAGAAAAGATGTCAAGGAATTTGTACCATTGTAATTTTTTTACTGCCCTATTGTGCACTCTGATTTTCCATGTTTCGTTCCTTGTCATCATATCAGCAAAACGGCCAAACCTTCATTTTGCTTCAGAGAACTCTTCATTATCTAGTTTTAACCTTCTAGAAGTTTCGACGGAGTTGATTTCTTTCCAGAAAGAGTTGCAATTTATTAATCGTCAGCAGACCATTAGGCTGTTCTCGCCTCTACAAAGCTGACTTGCAGTTGATTTCTTATCCACAGAACGGCTTTCACGTATTTAACTGGCGTCGTTTGCTATCTTGTGGCATGGCTGATTCTTGGACAAGATAGCCGTGATCAGTTATCAAAAGAGAGCTCAATGGATTTTATGGTAATTAGTAACACCCACATGCATCCCATTGCTGCTATTAAAAACTACTTTTCCACTCTTTCTCTTTCTCCACCTTCTTGCTTATAGTGTTTCTTCCTCATATTTTCGTTTCTTTCTTTCTTAACTTCTTCTTCTATAACCAGTCTTCCTAAAACTTCCCTCATGATTAGCTGAGAAGCAGAGCATCATAGAGGATCAACGCAATGTGCTTGTTGTAGATGGGTTCATGTCCAAAATTCCGCTTGAAACATACATTTATTTCAAACAAAATCCCAAATTCCCAATAAATGTGTGCTTTTCATTCCACTAATTTATTCATGTTTTTCTCGTTGCCATGCACCCACCAATAACGTAGCTCCATTTTCTGCCTTTAAAAGCACACACAACCCACAATTCCTCTATTCGCTCCGACGAAGGGCTAACGCTCGAAACGTCAGCTTTTGTAATCATTACGGTGGCCAATTTACCATTTCAACTTTGTTGATATATCCAAATTATCCCAATAAATGAGACTAGCCTTAAGGAATTATTTAACTTTAAAACTTTACAAACTCATGTTTTGTCTTATGGATCTTCTTACGATCAATGTGAGGGCGTCGCGATGGGATCGCCATTGGCAGCTATTTATACTTGCTACTTTATTCATGGAGTATTATGAGAACCTATGGTTAAAGAATTTAAATACTCTAATGTTCTATTTTATCGTAGATATGTGAATGACACGTTTTATTTATCATACAACGAACAGTATGCATTAAAATGTTTACGTTACCTCAACACCAGACATCCCAATATTAAGTTTACTTTCTAAACACAGGTTAATGGGAGACTTCCATTCATGTCAGATGTTTTGCTGAACAACGCGGGAAAATTTTGTGTTCTATTTACAACAAAAGCACATACTCAGGGCTCTTAAATTTCTTTAGTCTTATTCAGTTCAAATGTAATATAGGTCTCATTTAGTCGTTTGGAATTTTGAAGATAAATGGTACAACCCAAATGGAACAATATTTTAAAAAACCTTTCTAAAACTAGTCAACGCAAATCCTTACCTAATATCATTGACAAAACCATGTGAATATTTAAAAACAGATTTGCCTCACATTAACCTCGAGCTGGAGGTGTACACTCTGTGCAGAGCACTGAGTGTAATTTATAACACTAAGTGTTTCAAACTTCCTATCCTAGGTGACTATGCTAACGTCGAAGCACGGTTATCAACAATTTTTTGCAAGGATCTTGACATAAGGATTGTCTTCACCCCTTCCAAAATTAAGAGCTAATTTAGCCTTAAAGGTCCAACTTCAGATGCCTTAAAAAATCCCTAGCTACTTATCAGTTTACTTGTACGGGATGTAATTTCCGTTACATTGATGAGAAATATCATTATTTTTCCACTAGGGTTAAGGAAAATCTGCCATTGGAGAAAAACTCTCATGTTGACAAGCACATGTATTCTTTCCTTAGTTGTAAGAAAAAATGTTCAACCGAGGATTTTTAAGATTATAGACTCAACCAAGAACACTTATTGCTTCAAATTAAAGGAAGCGGTGTACATAGGCCACTTGCAACCTAAGCTGAAAGCTCAGATGAAACATAACTGTAATTTTTCTTCGAACAGATTCATTTTCCAAGTGTCACATTCGCGCGCGCTATTTAACAAATGGTAAACACCACAGCGTACACTCTTGAGTTATGGATACACGCGGGAGGTTGCTAAGCACGAAAGAAGCGTAAGAGTCGCTCGAGGCGATAGCCGAGAGCGACTCTAGCTTCTTGAGTGCTTAGCAAACCTCCCAAGTGCATCCATAACTCAATAGTGTACGCTGTGGTGTTTACCATTTGTTTTATAACATAACATTAACACATTGTAGCTAAAGGTTCCCTTTTATTTAACAAATCTTACGTGACCACAAAAAACAAGCGCGCGCGGAAAAATAGTCTTTGCATTTGCTCACGTCAGCAGCGTACACCCATGGGCAAATGGGGGACGCTGAATTGACCAATCAGAGGGCGCGCTTTAGTTTGGTTATGTTATAATGTTTACTTTACCACAGTAACGTTATTCATTTCAAATACTGTATTCGAGTTAAACTTAGGAATAGATATTATAAATGTCTACCACCGATCAGCCTTAACTGAAGCTCTTTTGTCTGTTCATCTACAGTTGATAGCTCTCACCCTGACAGGAGTAGGACTGGTATGCTCTGGTATTTTCCATGTTGGAACCAAAGAACCTCCACACAATTCACCAGAGGAGAGGAAGCTGTCCAATTCAATTACAGATTATGTGGTAAATTTTGGTAAAAAAGGAGCAGCAGCTAAAAGAAACTTACTTTTCCCGATAAATCCAACCTAAAGTTATTTGCAATTATTAAATACTGATCAATTCCTTTTAAGTTTAATCATATGATCAATTACCACTTCAATGATCAAAAGTAATTCAAAATTTGAAACTACTTAAAGAAAAAATACTCAGAGAAGGTACTCCAAAATCCACTCTGGAAATGAAGTTGAATTTAGTAAAAAGTTTCTCCGGTTTTCCTTTTAAGTTTTAGATTTTTCGAAGTATTTATTTGCAGCTAGATGTTGTATCCAGTTTGATAGGTTTATAACATTCTTATTGGAGGAGTTAGATCTAGATAGATTATCATGACAACTCATTGTCTCCAAGCCTTATTCCCTGGGCCTCTTTTTGGCTGGTTCGAGTAAAATGCTAGCAAACACCCTAGGTGGACATCAACGAATACACAAGTATTGAGAGAAATGTGCACTTCGGGGAACTAAGAATATTTTAAATATTTACGCTGTGTTCTTTGCTGGTTAGTTTTTTCATATTAATATTTTGTATGGGTGTACTGCTTTGTATTGGTGTATCTCTCGTAGAGAAAAACTTCCTTCATGCCAACACCTGGGATTTTACAATCAGTCCTGTATTTTGAAGGATGTAAGTTTTTATCCATCATTTACAAGGCCATGCACCAACTTCACCTGTTTTGTTTTCCAAAACTTTTGTTCATATTTTCTTACTTTCTTCTTAATTTTACAACTTTTTAGCAGCTATGCGATAGTTTCTAAGTTTAGGTGTAAGTGTTTAGAAAGAACTCGTTCTCATTTTGTATTTTCACATAGATCAGCAACGAAAGAAAAATATCCGAGACAGATTCGTCCACAGTCTGCGATCATCGCAGAACGATAAATTAACCAACCAGCAATCAGGTGAAGAAAAAACAAGCCCTGCGAGAAAAACCAGTTTCTTTGACCATTTTCTTGAAGCAATATTAGAAGGAAATAAAACTGATGAACCCGATGAAAGTACGACCACAGAAAAAGAGGTTCTGGATTCACCACTGAACATGGCTGTTACCCCCATGGCAGTCACAAGTGGGGAAGACTTGACGTTTGTTAAGACATTACCAACAGAACGAAAAAAAAGCCTTATGATGAGCATCTTTGATAGACTGATGACAAAGCAAGAAGATTCTGAGGAAGAAATCGATTCTAAGAAAAATAATAACAAACCTATAGATGACAATGAAGGATCTGATGCAAATGAAACACAGCTCGGCCAACATTCCTTGGATGTTAGTCAAGATGATGGAAAAGTTCTACTATCTGTTGCTTCTGATGTTGTACCCAATCCTCCACCGAAGCCAAAGACAGTGATAGCCTGGTTCAAGGATCCTCATTTGTACAAGGTGACTTTAAATATATAAAGAGAGGTTTTTGACAAGAAAAACTATAGCTTTTTTCTTTACCTTTACCATTGCCATTACCATTGTGATTTCCGTTACCATAGCCATTGCGTTTACCATTACCATCGCCAATGCTCTTGCCATTGCCGTTGCTATTGCCTCTGCCATTGTCATTGCCATTGCCATTGCCATTGCCATCACCATTGCCACTGCCATTGCCGCCGTTATTATCACTGCTGTTGCCATTTCCGTTGCCAATGCCACTGCCACCGCCATTGCTATTGCTATTGCCATTGTCATTGTCGTTGATGTTGCCATTTCCATTGCCAATGCATTTGCGAGGATAACAATTGCGACAGCCTAAGCAGTTTCTGGTTTTCAACCGTTTTTTTATGATTTTGGGTGCACTGCCTGTTAACAGAGGTATTTTGATAGGGCCGGGGTCCACAGTACTTCAGTTTTTTTGTATTCGACGAAGTTGAAAAGTGAGACGTATTCTGCCATCTTGGCCGCTAAATAATTGTTTAGTTCATGGAGGATCTTTCCAATACTGCCGCCCCAAATTATTCGGGTTCTTTGTGCGCATTGGGAGACTGTGCCTTCTGTTTTGAAAACCACCCGAGATTGCAGGCCGAGGGCTTTATTCAAGATCTCGGGTACATTTCTCCGTATAGGGACCTCTCGGCCTGTAAATAAAACATGTTTATTGTTGCCAGTAGTGAAACAAAATTTCTTGAACAGATTGGTGTGAACTTTTAAAGATGTTTAAAAATGGAAAAAGTGTAGTCAGGATATGTCATGAGTTTTATAGAAATTGGTTGCCTCTGACTGTTGTTATTTCTGAAACAGACGTTTCGGCTAATGCTTAAGCCTTCATCAGTGATATGAAAACTGAAGATCGTTATCATACGCTATTTAAAGTTAAAAACGTGACGCGAAGCTTGCGCGCGTAACTATGTATTTGATGCTCGCGCGAGGTCTTTATAGGCTTCTGGAAGTACGATGTGATCGTTCCCCGCATTCGGATCCAAAGTAGAGTACCAGGCTTCAAGGAAAAGTCTCTCGTGGTAATTAGTTTCGAAACGAACGACCCTGACGTTTATGAAATCCATGTTTTGGTCGAAAAGGTGGACATGGCTTGCGACTTTGGAGTTTAAGTCAAAACCTGCAACTGCCTTTTTGTGCTCCGCAATTCTGGTCTTTAATGATCGTTCTGTTTGGCCATAGTACTTAAAATTACACTGTGTGCAATTGATTTTGTACACCATGCCTGACTTCTGGCGGTCAGGTTCGCCTAGCTCCTTGGAGCGTGGAAGAAGGCTGTTGACTGTTTGTTGGGGTCTGTAGGCTACTTTGACCTTTTCTTGTTTCAATATGCGACTTATTTTCTCGGAAACACCCTGTACATACGGCAGCACTACAAAGCCATTGAAGTTGGTCTGGGCGGGTTGTTTAAATAACACTCTCTCACAGTTCTGTACAAAAGGCAATGGATAATTGTTATCTCGCAGAACGGCCTTTACTCGTTGTATTTCTTCCCGTCTGCCTTTATTGGTAGATGGAATGTTGTTTGCTCTTTTCAGTAAGGTGTTGACAACGGATCTTTTATGCCACATAGGATGACAGGAAAAGAAATCGAGATAAGGGTCGTTATGTGTCGGTTTTCTGTAAACATCTACCTGAATTTTTGTGCCGAGTTTACTTGTTATGGTGTCTAAAAAAGGCAAGCCTTGTCCGTTGGTGTTTTCTAATTCTAAAGTAAACTGTATGTTCGGGTTAATTGAGTTCAATTGTTTGTGGAAATTGTCGACTTGATCCTTTTTGATACAAGAGTGACTATCGTCAACATACCTAAACCACCATTTGGGAGGGCACGGGAACGTGGAGATCGTCGTTTCCTCAATTTCTTCCATAATCAGGTCGGCTAAAACAAGACTAATGGGAGAACCCATTGCGCATCCAAAAATCTGTTTGTAGTGGTCGCCATCATATTTAAATTAATTGTGGTTGAGGACAAATTCTGAACTGAGTCTCAAAACGTTGTCAACAGAAAGATTGGTACGTTCTGCTAGATTCTGGTCTCGTTGTAGTCTCTCCTTGGTTATCGTGAGGGCTAAGTCCACAGGTATGGAGGTGAACAGGGACTTCACGTCGAAGGAGATCATGACTTCATCGCTGGAGATGGAAAGCTTRTTTTATTTGTTGCGTGAAAACGGAACTGTTTTGGACTGTGTAGGTTTTCTTTCTCAGAGGTGACAGGACTGAAACTAGATATTTGGAGACCGCATGTGTCGGGCTACCGATACTGCTAGTGATGGGTCGCAATGGCCTTCCAGGTTTATGAACTTTCGGAAGACCGTAAAAAGACGCTGGCGTTGAATTACCGCAGTGTAGTTTTCTGTATAAACTTGGGCCAATTCGCGGTGCTGTGCCGTTATTCTCGTTTTTGATAGGAGGATTTTGTTAAGATCTTTTTCAACACTTGTTGTGGGTTTCAATCTCTTATCGGTCAATTTCAGGTAGGTTTTGGTGTCGTTTAATAAAACGGCTACTTTCTCTTTGTCTCATCACTATCCATCACAACTATGGATCTTCCTTTATCGGCTGGAAGGATCTTCACAGTCTCATCCTTTCTCAGGTTTTGTAGCGCATTCTCCTGCTCTTTCGTTATATTGGCTGTCGTGTGTACTTTGCAGTTCTTAAGAATATTAGTAACAGAAACGCGTATTGTGTCTTTTAAAAATGTGGCTGATTCTTTTCTTTTCAGGTTGCAATTATTTACTCGTGTTCAAAGAGTTTACAAAGTGTGCTTTTCTCCTACTTGCCCCTGCTCCTTACCGACGAACTAAAATTGGAAAACGTGAGTGAAATTTGTCAATTATTTTCTGGGTTTGAAAGTTTGAATACTGAAAGTCATACTTGACGTTCTGCAATGGTTAACCAATTATCTTGTAACACACCTACCTTCGTTTCCTTGCTTTCCTTTCTCCTTTCCCTGTCAATCCGTCAGCTTTGCAATAATTAGGTGGAAGAGACAAACAGGCAGAGGGAAAGAGAGACAGATAGACGGATAGAAAGAACGACCATTTGGTAAATCATGAAAAATTTCAGAGAGTTGAAGACGGGGTACTTAATGTGAATAACTGTTTAGACTTTCCTGCGAGTTAATAATTCCGAATCTTTTTTCAAACAAAGCTCCTAGAAAAAAAATTCACCTTATAATGCTCCACATTTAGTTGGAGTAGGAAATATTAAATGCCAAGAAAGCTCCTTGATGTTTTTAAACGTTTTAAGGTTCTACTTTTAAAAAAATGTACCTCGTTTATCTGAGGAAATTATGCCTCACGGATCCCGTTAAACATAAATTGTCGATTGGTTTATCCGATAAGACTTGATAGATTGTCCGCTCATGACAATGAGACAATCTGGTTAAAACCCTGTTAAGGCTTGACATTTTTACAACATAATTATTTTTACAGCATAATTATGTGCTTTTTTTGTAGGAGGCGATTGCCAATATACCATTAATAGCGTTAGTGAGTGCCTCATTGTCTACTGAAATCTCGAGAAGGCTCTCGAGAAAAGCGGGAAACAAGGTAACTAACTAGTCCAGAATATTGTACACAATAAGCCTTCCGGCTTCAATTCAATTTCTGTGCATAACGAAGGCTATACACGGTAAAGAAAATCAATGATTCTAGGCAATATTGGATGTGGATCACCAAATGAAGATGTCACCACTTTCAGTATGTTCTGACACGAATTGATTCATACTAGTCGGGGCCTCTTCTAAAGCTCTTCATCTTATTTCAGTGGACATTCACTGTGGCTGTTCTAACAGTGATTGGATCGTGTGTGTGGTTTGCACATATTACTCAGTCGACCAGAGTTTTGACTTATCCAGCCGTTATTCTACTGGGATTTGGTTCCTCCGCCATGTTTGTGAATGCTCTTGGCTTTGCAACTGAACTCATTGGAGACAACAAAGTATGTTGGAGGGCGCTTTGTTTCGTTTATCAATGAAATCTTCTCTTACCTTTTGATAAGTATAAAAATCGAATTATACAATTTTAGTATAATTTCAGATCTGAGCAAAGAGTTTCCAGCAATCTGATTGGTCGAGCGGTTCCTTATATGACGCTATATAAACCGCTCCGCGCGGTTTATATAAAATGTTCAACTAAAATGTTAATAAATGTTACTAAAATGTTATGATTTTAGAGATTTCTCTGTTGATCAGCTCTGAAATTATACTAAAACAATCATTCGCCTCAGGTTCGGTGAATATTGTCGAATAATCCCCTCGACTTCGTCTCGGGGATTATTCGACGATATTCACTTCGCCTTCGGCGAATAATTGTTAAATACTAAGTTCAAAGAAACACACTACCCATAGCGAGTTTATTACAGATTTGTCCCCGTTTATAGGGACTATAGAACAATAACATCTTTCATTTCCCTGCAGGCCAGCTCTGGTTTGGTATTTTCTGTCATAGGAACCTTCGCCAACCTGATGTCAGGAACTCTATATATCGTGATACAAGCTTTATTTCCTAAAGGAAGGTAACTCTAGACCTTTTTCATAATGATTATACTAATCACAGTATCTTCTTTGTCTATTTATGTTTGTTTCTTTAATTTTTCTTTTGTTTCTTCTTCCCTTTTCATTTGTCTTACCTCTCTTTGATTGTTATTGCTGTTGTTGTATTTATTCTTCTCTTTGCTTTTTTTCCATCTTGTTCTACAATGGTATTGTTTTCAGTCTTTTTCTTCTACTCCTTCTCCTGTAATCCTGTGTCCTTTTATTTCTCTGGTCCTTATTCTATACTGTTCAAACAGTCAATTCTACCAGCATCCAGTGAACAATGTCATAACTAGAAATTATTGCTTGATCAAACGATATAAATAAGACATCTTTATTTAAATCTTCGTCTTGATAGTCGGTGTATTTGTTTATCAGGAAGAGCTAGTTTCCTCTTAGGTCTAGTTCTACTCTATGGTGCATGATGGCGAAATCGTAAGATTTAGTGCCCCAAAAACGATGAAATCAAAGTAATGTTCGCATCAATTCATCAAAACAAATTAAATGGACATGAAACGTATATGTCACTCCTCAGTGATAGATTTCTAATTGGATAATATACTTGTGCTCACACTAATTTAAAAGAAAGGGTGAATCCTCATCATAGTGATTTTTCTTAGCATAAAATATTGTAATAAAATATTTTTGTTCTAGCGCGTCTGCTGATTGCCAAGAGTGCGGGAATTACGTGCGACATGTGTTCTCATTCGTTCCCAGCTCACTCGCTGCTCTTAGTCTGCTGCTAATGATCATTTTTCAAGTTCATCAAATGGTCTGTGGGATAGAAGGTGAGATGCAGTTTGTTAGGTGACATATGACGAGTTTCAGTGTGCACGTAATTGAAGACTGATGGATTAACTTTAGGGAATTTTAAAAAGAAGGCTCAAATATCAGGAGTGTGGCTAGTATTTTAACGCTTGCAGCGACGTAAACCAATTAGAATCGAGGTATCACTCTAGGCGGGTCGTTGACCAGGAAACTTAATGCTTAAAAGTCAGCCCCGCTTGGGCCAAAGGCTGCGAATCGATCGAAATGTAGTAAAAAGTCGACACTATACAAAGACCCAGGAGCCTCCAGTAAATAGGACGCTAAGCTCGCCTTCTCTATGCGCGTGGTGACGCTTATAGGTGCGATTTGAGGAACAGAAGTTATAACATTGTAATCAAGTCTTTACTAGGATGAATACCGTTCCCAGAACGGTCATTTTTTAGATAGTGAGTTCAAACATGCAAAAATTCCAACCCAAATGCAATTAGCATCAATCAGAAGAGAATACAAAGCTCGCTTCCTGAAGAGATTGCAAAAGAAATAGAATAGTTTTGTTAAATATTTGCTAAATAGAGTAGATACATTTATCACTGAAATATCGCTGTCTTGTGATACACCGTCCACTGAAACTTGCCTGGGTATCAACACTGTTATTATTAACTGCATTTGAGGTCAACTTGCCATAACTTGAACATGTAATGGAGGCGCATCAGAGCAGTCCAGATTCTCGCTCACGTAGCACTAATGCTTACCAAATTAATTTTCTTTCTTTTTTAACTTTATATTCTAGCACTGTTTAGTTTAGACATGAGATGGTAGAAACATCTTTGAGAAAGAAAAAACACGATCCCTCGAAGCAAGGCTCTTGAAACCTATTGTAATCCTGAAATATTCGATGTTCTTTTTATTTCTCTTCACAAAACAGGAACCGAGAAGGAGACTGAACCAGATTCAGGCAATAAAACTCAGCGAAGATTTGCTGTTGTAAAGAAATAGCATAAAAGACACTGGCTGGTTGAACTTGATGACATTTGCCATTACATCATAAGGAATTTGCAATAACAGCAAATTCAAGAATGTGTCATTATTATCTTTCGGTGCTTGTGATAAAAACGATTAAAATACCGGGAATAACCCAATGCAAATTATAGTTATCATTTTATTCTTGTACGTAGCTATTGCAGCGTGCTAATTTCTAAGAGTTCTTGAGTGTAAGTTTTAGAATGATTTTGTTTTTGATATGAAGAAACCGGAATCAGATCTTAGCAGTGATATGCATCCAGAGACCTGAAAGGGGAATACCTGGTACAAGGACCGTGTTATTAACTTTGTGAACCAAACCAACAAGTCTGTAAAACGGCATCTATTAACATATATCCTAGGTTCTGTAGGTCTGTTCTGGCTCTAGGTTTAAACATGTATGATTTATTTGAAGAGTCATTGTCGCAAGACAAACAAGCACAGCAGCGAGCATATTAATAATGATAGCCATTATTATAGTAACAAGTTAAAGTTAGCCCATTTTCCCATTAGATCCGATTTCTTTTCCTCCAACGTTCTGCCAGCAGAAAGGCATGTGATTGAATTCTCACATTTAAAAACTATCTATAGTAGATCAAAAATTTATTTCATTCTACACTTATTGATAAAAATTATTATGGCCCCCGCTTATGAAGTTATAGTTATTCACGGCTACGTCTTTAGCAACTATTACACAACTCTCATGCTCTTCGAGCTTCCTGCGTGCTTCATACCAGAGTTGGTGATTTGGTTTTGATGGCAGAGAGCAGACAAGGGTTCCTCTTTTTTTCCTTCCGTATGAAGGCGTTTTTTCTAATGCACTCTAGGATGTCTTGTAATAACGTAATGGCCTTAGAGTAGTCTCCATTACCACCGGGGCAAGAGCTGCGGAGCACATAAGATTTGAGTTGTCTAGCGATGTGAATGAACGTCAGGCTTATGAGGGTACCTCAGTGGGGTCACGTTGACGGTTGACGGTTGACAGTTAAATCTCAGGTCATTTGACGGTTAATTTTTTGGAATGTCGCTTATAAAACGAACTAAACGTCCGCATTTGGCTGTAATTTTTCATAATGACGCGTTTGTAAAAAGCTCTTAATTTATAACACCTTTTATGAATAAATGACTGACGTTTTATTACACGACTCGGGCAGTCAGAGGGCCAATAACTAAAATCAACTAATCAAAATGCTCTATTGCCGGTCAATATTCTCTCAGTATTGGACCGAGCACTGTCCCGAATAGTCCCGAATGATACCGCACTTGTGTCCCTTTGAACTTCAGTCGTATATTAATTCTCTTATTAACCAAGCTTGCTCGGGACCGTACTGGAATGCCCTCGGTCTTTTTTGTACGGTCCTCGCTACGCTCGGCCCGTACTGTCAAGACCTCGGGCCGATATTCTCCCAGTACGGCCCTAGCACTTGGTTAATAAGATATATGTACTACACAGGAAGTGTTTCCACACCGGAGGTCAGTTTTATCGCCAACCAATTTTATTCGCGACTAGAAGTTATAGGACTTATGTAAATGTGTTTTTGTGATACATCAAAACTTTTCTTTATAAACAACAGAACTTGACCCCAATTAAGGCCCTCGTTTAGCTCTTACTTAAGGATATCTGAGACATTTGACAGCTAACACTGGTTTGTTCACTTGACAGCTGACGGTAAAAAATATTGCGTTTTTGACGGTTGACAGGTAATATTTTGGCCTTTCGACGGTTGACGGTGGATCCCATTGAGACCCTCCAATGAGGGGTCCAGAATCTTCACAGACCCCTTGCAAATCAATTTTTTGACTTCCTTGAGAGTTTGTCTGGGACTAATAATAATAATGCTGATAATAATAATAATAATAATAATAATAATAATAAAAATAGTAATAATAATAATAATAATAATGATAATAACGAATATTTATACAGGATAACCCTTCAGGGCAAGAGCACTGTTATCAATGGGGTCCTGTCTAAATAACATGATATAAGGATGAAAACTAGAATAAGATAAGAATGACTACGCACCTAATTAAATGCCCTATGCAAAAAATTGATCTCTTTAGTAAAGACTCGCTAAATGGTACCCTACTGCTAATTTGCTTGATTTTTAAAGGTAAACAATTAAAAGCTGAAGCTCCTAAAAAATAAAAACTTTTCCGAGCAAAGTCAAGTCTCACTTTCGGCAGAGCAACGGTGGTCCCTCTGTTCCTCGTATTAAATCGTGGGTTAACAATTTAAAATATTCTTTGAAAGGACTACAAACATTGCCTTTTAGGCAATCAAAAACAAATAAACAAGCCTTTTTCTTTAAAAAATTTTCAATTGTGGGTAGACGGAGTTCACAGTTTAGACATTTTGAGTTTTGCAGAATAATCCTGTGACTACGTTGTTCCAGGTTTCTTATTTGGCACCTTCGTGTCTCTGACCAACCAAGCGTAATTTGACCGCAATAAGTGAATATGGGCATTATCATTGCTCTGTAGATTCGTTCAGCGCTTAAGGTGTCAGTGTTAGAACGGATTCGTCGTAATAAATTCACTCTTCCTGCAGATTTCTTGTATGTTTTGTAAAAGTGCTTGTCAAGATTCAATGTAGGGTCCAGATAGACACCTAGGTACTTGTAATTTGTAGTCGTGTCGATGCGAGATCCATTTACTGAGAGGTTTAGTTCTTTGCCATCAAAACCACTTAATCTTTTTGCTGTTCCGAATAGCATTACTTCAGTTTTTCCTTTTTTGAGATTAATGATAAGTTCGTTATCTCGAAACCAGGAGGCAAGGCTATTGATGTCTTCGCTAAGATTGTGTTGAATATTGATATCCGAGCAGCTCAGGAGGAGAGTAATTTTAGCGAGGCAAAGGAGACTGACACGTCAATACAACTTGACCATCCCCTGATCTACGATCAGTACGATCTTTGTGAAGTGGCGCTAAAGGACTCTTTGAAACTCTTGAGGCTACCCATGTTGCAGCACATGGGTGAAGATCTTGGCCTCAATATACCATCAAAGCCCATTCGTAAAAAGGCCCCGTACTTGGCTCTACTGAAAGAGATTGTCAGCAAATGCACTCGCCAAAAGTCATCATGATGCTGGCTTTCTCTTTTGTTTAGCAGAATAGGAAAGTGAGGAAGAAACCAATGAACGGCGTATCGTTCCTAATCATTAGTTAGTGGTTATCTTATTTTTTAAAATGCACGTAGGCCGGATCAGAAGTTGTTGCGTTTTGTTTTGTTTTGTTTTGTTTTTTTTTTAATCATGCCAGTATTCACCCTCACTTTTCTTTTCTGGTCTTCACGTCAGTAATGAAGTTTACTGATCTGGTGGCCGAAATATGCAAACTGATGGATGCGGGAGTATTCAACCTACATTTCTATCCGCTCATGTTTTAATGCGGGATTTCCTTCTCTAATTTAACGACGTCGTCCTTTCAGTTGCGGTTTTAACGCGTGTATGTTCAAGCACCCACAAAACGTTTCCAATTACGTTACGTTGCGTGACATTAATAATTACCAGGAGAATAAGACCTGTTCCCATGTATTAAATTACTTTGAAGGTCATAAGGCGTCTTTCTTTGTATTTATACTTACAGAAAATGAGTTCTCATTGTAAAAGATAAAAAGTATTTAGATTATCAGTGTGGAATCAAGTCTTAAGTAGCTTCTTTCGAATGTATCTTTTGCATTACTTGAATTTGAGAAGATGGTAATGTAATGTGTACTTCACTTGTAGATTTTTCAGCTCAAAAAGGTTTTGGAGAACCTTATCAAACATCTTGCAAAATTTTTGACCTGTCTCTTTACATTTTACAAGCTATAAGTCACTACAACGGAGACCGAATTTAATTTGAATAGTTAACAACTCAATATGGTTAAATTACCTAGTTATTTGTTTACACACTTTGCATCATTTTGCTCGCTCAGGTCACGAACACTTCTGACATTTTCGAAAGGAAGCAATGCGATTCAGAGCATCAAAAATTGCACAGTGAATGGAAATAGCAATGTTTGACGAATATATTGTTAAAAATCCAAAGTGTCAGGTAACAGCTACATTTTTTTCGCGCGAAATATCACCCGTTTTTCAACGCCATTTTGCGTGGTCTGTAAGGATGTTCTTTCAAGGGCTTAAGTAATCCCAAAATCGATGTGCCCGAAAAAATTTACTCAGCAGAATTGAATAAGAATAGCTTTCCTTACAACGTGTGAAGTTTAGTGTTGATTGATTTTATTTTAAGCCTTGAGCGGAGCTTTGTTTTCGCAGTTAATTTTGGACTGTGCGAGATGCGGAGCCTGAACTCAGGTAACCTGAAACCGCGTTTTCAGATTTTCGTAAATTTATGAAAAGTTAAGAATCGCTGGAACTTAAAAACATGATTTTTGAAAAGGGTTTACTGAAAGGTTTCTTTGGGCGAAATATGAGCAATTCACCAAAATGGTTAAAAGAGTCGTTCAACAAAATGAGCAAGAGATATCATAGTTTTCCTACAGCTGAGGTCGTAATTTGCATAATGGTGATCGATGTAACAACCGTATGTACATTTTCGACACTGATTTTATTTTCTTTCTGCTCTCACGCAACTCTGAATGCATGATTTCCCTTTCACCTAATATCTTGTGGCATAATAGCTAAAAATTTCCAAACTTAAAGTTGATTTCAAAACCTTTTTCTACCTGGCAGGGAATAATTAGATTAGCGTTTGTTTACACAACATATGTCTTTGCTCGCTCAGGACACAAACATTTGTGGTATTTTCAAAAGGAAGCGTTCCGATTCAAAGCCTCAAATTTTACTCAGGTATTGAATAATGACATTTTATTACGAATATCTAGTTAAAAATTTAAAAAATTATGTACCAGGTATACTTTTATCGCGTTAAATTTTACCTATTTTTCGCCCCATGTACAGCACTTTTTGAGGGTGTTGCTTAAGGGACAAAAAAAAAATCACAATATAGCTGTGTACGGAAAAATTAACATAACACAAATGAATGGGAAGACTTTTTCTTAAAACGTGTGAAGTTTGGTGTTAACTGAATTCATTTTAAGCCTTCAACGGAGCTTGGGTTTTGCAGTGAATTTTGGACAATTTGCCAGGCGGAAAACCGCACTTAAACTGCGTTTTCAAATTTTCGCAAATTTCTGAAAAATTAACACTCGTCGGAACTTTTAAACTCGATTTTTGAAAACAGTTTACCAAAGGGTATCGTTGAGCAAAATATGAGCAATTCACCAGAATGGTCGCTGACGGACGATTCTCGATCCTTACAGGCAGCCATTTTTATGTATCCTTGTAGCTCTTGAAAGTGATAAAATATATATTACTCCTTGTTAAAGGAAGCGCAACTCAATCTCAATTGAAGCAATCACTGCAAAGCCCTTTCTGTTTGTTACAGAAACAAAGCAAAGCCGTTTTCATCTTCAAATTTGGCTTCTTCTGGAAGATCGTAGCTTCCAACTGACATCATTTGAAGTTCTCGT